ATTCTCCAAGTTGTAGTTTTTTGTTACAAAAATACTGATTTCTAGGCTTTTTTCGATACTGTCTTTGGGCACTACTCAAAATATATTGTGGATAGCATATTATGATAGGTCCTCTAAAGAAAAATGAGCCTCCCGAGACATATATAGAAAAATTGAAATTTTAGTCATTTTGTGTTTTGGAACCAATGAGAATGTTGTCCGTCACTACATCACAGAGACATGACCTATTCAGCCAAATTAGAGAGCCCATACCTACAGTGATTAAAACTTTCATACATTCATAACTTTCTCACTTTTTGTCCGATTTCATTCAAAATTTCACCAGTTTACTTCTCTTATTGATTGCTCTTGAAAGTAGTTGCGATCGTGTTATTTTCTTGATCAAAAGGAATGAACTCGACAGCACTCTCTTTTGTTTTTGTTTTTGTTTTTGAACATTTTGTAGATTTATTCCATATATGAATTAATTTACAATCCGAATGACATATCTTTGTGCACTAGGTACGCAAACATTGCATCATAACATTCTTGATACCACGCTTCTGAGTTCTGGCCTTCCTTTTTACAACTTGTTCTTGCTCTCTCCGAGATATGCAAAAGCCAGAATGCAAGCCACAAGAAAAGGAAAAAAATATTACAAGTCGTGTTTCGGAATACATAAATGAGTTTTAAGGTAACCCACTAACTTCCCTATTTGGGGAATAAGAAACCCTACAAAGCATAATTCTTTTGACATAAAATAATTTGAATAAATACACTAGATGATGCTTCAATTTCACAATGTACAAAAATCTGGACTTACTGCCTAATGATACACTTTCTTTGTCATTCACTATGTACAGAATAGATTACAATTCTCCCTCTTACATATTAAAGCAGAATAATCGACCTTTTATACCCTAACATCAGAATAATATGTTTATATATTTCAAATTTCATCCATTGTATTTCTGCCATAAAGCATTTTTACAAAGGAAGAAGCAAATGTCCCCCCCCCCCCCCTCTCACAAATCATTCATCTCATATTTATCTCACATGGCTTCAAATCTTGAATAAGAACATGAATAAAATATATTAAATGCTTACTGTCACTGCCTCTACAAAGTATATATTAATCAAAACATGTATTTAAAAAAAAAGGACACATGGATGTATGGTAGTATGTAGTGTTGTTGCTAAGGATAGGGATATATATAAGTTTAACATTGAAAAAAGTCACAAAAATCCCCCTTCATTTTAAACCTTTAAAAACATCTACAGTATTAGAAAATACTACTTGACATAAGTTTTCCTTTCATCATCGCATTTCAAATCGATTTCAAAATAAATTACATGTACGCAGCTTTCTTGTACACTAAAGTAGACAGAATTCATGGAGTTAAAATAAATTAAGTGTAAGTGGCTTCGTAGCCATTTTCAGAATGCAGAAGATTTGATATTAAGGAGACCAATCATAATAAAAGGATAAATAAATAATTATTATTATATACCGCATGTCTAGATTCTAGGCCTCTGATTGGTCAAATTTGCGGGCATGAAATTCACCATGGACTGCTGGGCGGTATAGTGAAAAATATTGACCGGGCATAGAATTAAGTCTTTGTACGCGCGCGAGTAGCTATGGCAATTTGGATACGCTTGGGCGCAACCAGCACCATATCATACATGTACACCGAACAAAATTTTGAAAGAGCAATCGGTGAGAATTATGTTACGGTGCCATATTTCATCTGTCTTTGAAATTCATTTCTGAGCTCAAGAAGAATGCGGTATATAAAACAAATGTTGACTGCTTCTTTTTCGCGTCACAGTTAAAAACCATGGCCCTCGGTGATCTCACAACTGCGCTATGCCCCTCCACTGTCGTCTCGGGGAATAGCACAGTTGTGAGCTCACCTCGGGCCATAGTTTTCACCGTGCCCCTCAAAGCAGTCAACATTTGTATAATATGTACTCATTTGAAGAAATAAACCCCTGAAAAATTACCAGAATGGGGTCAAAGGAACGTCCGCATTCAGTTAGAAAGTTGAAAGAACATAATTGTAGAAATGTCCCCTGAAAAGGATTGCTCTTTCAAATACCCTCAGATTTGAAATATGATGAATAGTTGAAAAGTTCGGACCTAACATTCAAGTCACGTGATGTGTGAGCAGTCCCATATCCCCTACTCTGTTGCGCAGTGCATGTGATTCTCGACTAGACTAAGTCAATTTCTTGTTTTGATGATTCCAAAACATTGCAGCAGATACCTTCCAAATAACGTCTAAATATTTTCTTTCCCAATTGAATCACATAACTACTATCAACCAGTACCCTGCCTAATCTTTAACTTCTGTGTGTGTGCGGTTGCCTCATCATACATACAGACAAGTAGCTTCCATCTTTATGTAGAGTACATCTGTAAATGTCAACTTGCAATACCTCTTTAAATTACAAAAGTAATATTTCAAGCTAATGTTTTGAATTATATATGCTGACATGGATCACTAAATATAAACAACGATAATTGTTTTTGCTTGTTTTGTTTTGAACGGTCGCCTTAAATTTTTATTACTGCCCTTGCTCATGTGATGTGTTAAGGCAAAGATGTCACTGCACTATTCCTAGATAAATGAACTGCATTACAACATCTAACAAAACGTATAGTCTGGATAAATAATGACACAGAACCTTGTAACTCTAACAAGCAATTAATCAAACAAAATGGAAAGGACTTTACATGTTGTACTGAGTGAAAGATCTATAAAGCAATATCATCGTAAAGACACGTACCAGTAGAAAAAGGGACTAAAGATTATTATAAAATATGAGTCTAATTTGAGAGCAAGTTTCACTTAAACTTTCTCTCAGGCCAGTGCAAACACGGTTTTTTCATATCACCAATATTTCTCCAAGCAGAAAAGTCATGAAGTCAATGAGAATTTCACAAGAGTTACCAGAAAATCAAATCGAATTTGATGATCATAAAAGACTCAAGTCCGACTATGTTCTGCTTTATACGTGCTTTTCTGAAGTGTAGAGTGGCTATCCATGATGACATGCATATTGTACATAATTTAGCTTAAACTTATTACAAAGCAATGTTGATACCATGATATCCCTTGTATCCTTTTATCAACTGAAAATACATGTAGTACAATTTATTTGCATCATACAACTTTTAGCTACTTTTTTTCTGTGAAAAGAATGGGTAATTCTTCACAGAATTCGACGAAAATGTGGCGGGGGAAAAAAGTATCATTGCACATTCTTTCTTTTTTATAGCTGTTACGTAAATGCTCACTCATGTATATACCTTGTGAAACAAACATTTTAAAACCTAAATGTGCACACGTATTTGGCATTTTGGCAACATCAGTAATACATCAATCAAAAAGAAAATTCTAAAAAGCCAAAATATATTCATTTCTTGTTACATTCAAATTGAGAGCTCGAGTGAGCACACTATATAAAAATATTGTCCAACAGATTATAGTTAACAAAACAAGTGGGTTTAAAAAATCAAAGATTATATGATAAATCTACAAAAGAGTATGATGAAGCAGTATCAATAGAAACAATTTGCTACTAGATACGACACATGAACGTGAGAGAACTTGCCCAAATTCATGTTTGAATTGCTACCATATCCACACAGATGTGACATCTCTTCATATCGTCTGGAGGAAGAAGGGCGATAACTCATATACTTGAACAGAGAGTTAACATCCTTCTGGCTCCAAGCAGATAATACATGTAATGGCATGTATCACGCTTAAATAGGCAGGTCTAATACTCATTGGACAATCTTTGTCCTCTATGTTACAGAGTATAACCGATGAAAAAGTGACGATAGTTTGAGACAAAACATGCCATTTAAAGGTAAAGACCAGTTATGGTCATGCGATTGCATTGTGAAAGAAACGTTGTGGAATCGATCAGAAAAGGTTGATCATCTAGCATCTAGCATCTGCAAGGTTCTGGAATCATCAAAATGATAAGAAATTTGGCCCATTCTTTGTAAAGTTTCAAGCACTATACACAGAAAGATGTATATGGGACTACCCTATATCTCTCACAGACCATGACAGAAACAAATTTACCAAATATATGAATTAGTAGGCGGTTTCCCGGCAAATTTTTTATCTTCATGTATTAGTCAAAACATATTCTTTCACATGATTGGTAATGAGAGCTTCCATTTCATTTTTTGAAATTGGGGCGTTTCCAATACTGGTCTTTACCTTTAACTTGAACACTGGCCAGGGCCCTGTTTCATAAAACTAGATATCCATAACACGTTACAAGCTACTGTTATCAGCTACTGAAATCATGGTATCTGATTGGCTGAGAGCAGAATTATCATAGAAATTTAGTATTTGTTATAGATAACAAGTTTTATGAAACGGGCCCCAGGTCCGAGCTGTGCTGTGTTTACCCAGCTTTATACAATTATCTCATTAAACCTTAACGAAGGTAATCTTTGATGTCAAACTATGAACTGTCATCTGTATAGGACAATATACATTAGAAGTGACCAAATATTTACCAAACACTTCCTAATGGTGGTTATCACAAAGAAATGATAAGGTTCAACAACAACAAAAATAATGAAATATACTGATCAATTGAGTTGAGTCTTGACAATAGTTACCCATAAGTCATTGTCACTTGTACCCAAGTCCCTTTTGAACATTTGATACAATGTGTTCATTTGATTGTCATTTTTGAGAAGCAAACAAGTGAAGCCATATTGACCTTGTTGAGATATTTCTATCTCTGGGAATTATAGGGTCTGGGAAAACTACACCATTCTACACATCACAGAGTGAGAGTAGTCGGAATGAAACCGAGAATTTATTTATCTCAGAGTGTTCCTAACTATCAATTTCCAGAGATAGTAGTCAAAGTATAATGGGAGTTATCTTTTAATTATACGTTAGCCACTGCTTTGGGTACATCATGAATTATTTCATTAAAGCTTTATACCTGGTGATAGGCTGTAGATTGATTTATGATTTATTTATGAGACACTGTACATACGTCTGCATGGCACCTACAACAGGACAAGAATACTAGGTCACCAGCTGATGGCCTGCACTTAAAGCGAAGAAGAAGGAGGGTGAAACAGGTGTGCACTGAAACGGCAGTTGCTGATTTGTCCCAGAAAGTTCATTCTTCCAAATTTTCCCATCCATGATTGAAATTTGAAGGAGAGACGACGTGTGGGACCGTTTCGTCAGCCCCCGAGGGCAGCAGACACTATAAGAGCAGCTGCTGGTGTGGGGGAATCCCTTGGCCCATCATGACCCCCTGGACCCCCTGGTCCCCTGGAGGGGGTGCCATCCCATACCCATGCGCCACACCGGTGGAGGGTACCCCGCCTTGGGGCTGCATGCTACCCATGGGGGCCGGCTGGCTGTAGGAGGTGTTGGTGGGTGCCACGGTGCCCACGGGTGCAGAGTTGTACTGGAAGGGGGCGGAGCCGGGGCTTGTTTGACTGGCAGCTGGCAAGGAATTCTGGGGGATGTTGTGGGTATACATGGTGGATGAAGCCGGGCTGTTGGACGTAAGGGGGAAGAGAAAAATAGCCAAGTAAATTCAAATGAGCCCTTCTAATGCAATGATACTGCTCATAGATTAGAGCCTGTTTGGAGCCAGAAGGGCAATACCTCTGTGTTAGAAGTATATGAGTTAACGCCCTTTTGGCTCTAAATAGACAATGTATCACTTTTATCAAATCACTGTCTAGGGCATATAGAGTTGCCTGGATATCAATGGGACCATTACGAATAGAAGAGAATCCTATATTTTTCAATTACAAATATCGGAACCCAAATATCAACTTTTGACTCTTACACTTAAACTGCCTTACAATGGCACTAACTAACCCCAAAAAAGGCGGGAAATGTCTGCCATGAATATGCTTTTTCCTAATAAGTACAGTGGTTAACCTTACGGAATTCTAGGCCTTTCTTCACAATAAGTGATTTATCAAGTGTATGGAGTATTACGTGTGAACTAAATTCAATTCCTTCAATATTTTCATCACAAGCAAACCAACCTTGAAACAAGCAATATATCAGATTGCAGGTACAATGAAACCAAGGATATAATAGGTTACCCCTTAAACTGATATAAGCGACGTGCTGCATGGTCTTAAAGATAAAGTTGAGTTCTGGTCATGCCATTGAATTGTGAAAGAAGCATTGTGGAATTGATCAGAAAAGGTTGATAAGCAAGTATTGGTGTGTACTGCAAGGTTCTGGAATCATGATGAGAAATTTTGCCCAGTCTTGGTAAAGTTACAAAGCATTGTACACCGATAGATGTATATGGGACTAAACGAACATGTGGCATAAAAATCTGTTTCGATTTTTACGATGTTACATGCCACATTTAGAATATTAAGGCATTCGAAGAGCCGTGCTTTTCAGGGAACATTTGTTATCTGATGTTCTTCCGCACTTGCATAATACAATGATAACGCTCACAAATTATTTTTCACCTCTTCCCAGAACTCAACCTTCTCTTTAACTGATATAACTGACGTGCTGCATGGTCTTAAATCTGAGTGTGAACATGGCCCTTACCTTGAAGAATAGATGGGTTGTGCAGCTTGCCCCATGCCCGGCTGTGAGAGGACTGGTTGACTCATAGCCATGGTGGATGCAGGAGCAGCCTGGGACGAAGGGGGCATGTTCATACCCTGATTCATAACGGGTGGACCCATTCCCGATGAGTTGGGTACCCCGCCTGGTGGACCCATGTATTGCTGCTGAGGGGGTGCTCCTGCATTGTACTGAGGAGGGACAAAACATAACATTAATGATAGTCACATTTGAATAGCGCTTAATACAATGTTCCTAAGTGCTTCATATTGTTATCATTATTACCTGTCCTTCGATTCGCTATTATACACTTAATGATGCACAAGCTCCGCTCCCTGGGGAGTATTCTGGGTAGCTTTACATAGCCAGGTATTACCTCAATATTGTTTTATACTGTAATTGAATATTTGAGCAATACTGCTCATATGACCAGTTTTATTGACAAAGTCAAGACACATGTCATAAACGGAAATGAGTAATGAGTAATTTTTTTGTTAATGTTCATATTTCTTTGTAGAAGGACACATTCATAAAATCTATCAAATCAAAACTCCTTGCAAGATGAGATATGCAGTACCATTAGAGCAGCAAATGATCACACATAACAACAGACAACTTAAGTTAGCTAACACTGGCATTGATCAATATATAACATATAATCTTTTAATGTGGTGTCTTCCTAGAAACCTGGCCTATACCTCAATGTCCTTTGGCAAAACATTGATCTACATTTGCCACACTCAAGTCAGGTGATGTAAATGGGTACCTGGCAGGAATTAATTCCTTGAAATGCTGGAGCGCTGTATAAACGGCAGCTAGGCTAAAGCCAGGGTAATAATCGGAATAGAATTATCTAGATAGACGGCGCTATAGAAATGCCTATTACAGTCAAACCTGCTTTAGTGACCACCTGTCTACAAAGGCCACATTTGTTGTTTCCCTTGAAAATAGTTTCTCATTGAATCATGTACTAAAGTAACCTGTCTACAAAGGCCACTTTTTGTGTTTACCTTGGGTGGTCGCTATAGACAGGTTTGACTGTATTATTATTATTATTGGGAGAAAGTCTTGAATCCAGATGAAAAGTGGGGAACTTACTTGTACCATCTGCGGGGGTGGCATGCCACCCATGTTGGGTTGCTGAGGGGCATAGCCCCCTGGAACGGGTACAGGCCCTTGCCCGGTGAAGGGGCCTGGAACGGGTACGGGCCCCTGCCCTGTGAAGGGGCCCTGGTTTGGGGCCATATTCTTCATGGAATAGCCATAGACGGGGGCTTCTTTCATCAGGTCATGGTACATCTGGAATGCGTCCATGAGACGATGGTTGAGAGCAGTAAGGTCCGCATGGTCTCGGTCAATGGACTCCAACTCTTGGTCGATGAGCGGGGCCATTCCATTGCATGTTGCTGAAATCATTCAAATTCAAAAATGGTCAGGGTTCATTTGATAACCACAACAATAACATGACAAAATGGCTTCATTTTATCATGTTTTCACCTTCTGTCATATAAACTCACAACACTCTGAACAGAACAAAAAGATTTCTATAGAAAGTTACTGTGGACAACTTCTGTGGAAAACATTTCTAGATCAAGGTAGAAATACCTGAGAGCCATCTTCAATGTTTAAGTTTCTATTTTGCTTAATGATTCCAGAGCTCTTCAGGAACATTTTGCTGCCTCTAACGGAATGACACAATGATAATACACTCGCTTATATGAGAATTCATGCTACAAAACTCATATGTCACCTCTAGGACGACTACCCACCGGGACAACTACCCCCAAGGACAACTAACCCCCGGGACAACTACCCCCATGGACAACTACCCCTAGAGGATGCATGTCGTAGGGGATAGTTGTCTGGGGGGGGGGGTAGATGTCTAAGGGGTAGTTGTCGAAGGGGTAGTTGTCTGGGGGTAGCTGTCCTAGGGGGTAGTTGTTGGGGGGGGGGGGGTAGTTGTCCGGGGGGATGGGGGTAGTTGTCAAGGGGGTTGTTGTCCCGGGGGTAGTTGTCCTTGGGGGTAGTTGACTGGGGGTAGTTGTCTGGGGGTAGCTGTCCCGGAGGGTAGTCGTCCTAGAGGGTGGTTGCCATAGGGGGTAGATGCCCTAGGGGGGTAGTTGACAGGGGGTGGTTATCCGGGGGGTGGATGTCCAGGAGGTAGGTGTCCTAGAACCTTAAAAAATATCTACCTTCCAATAGGGGCATGTCAGGATTGTCTGGTCTTTCCATGGTGGGGTCTGCGTTCTGGAGCATCTCCAAGCACTGGTCCATGGTCTCGGTGCTTATCTTGATCTCTGTCGGTGGCTCGATGGTACGCACCTCCACTTCCTCCTCGAACGAGACCTTCTTCTCCCGGGCTTTGATTTCTACAAGGACGGAAGCGGGTAAAAACTGTAATATCAATCACAATAGTCATGAAACTGATGTCTAAATCTCTCCCGCTTCATTTCAATGAAAATTACCAATCCTTAAAGCCAAGTTTGAGTACTAGCAAGGAAAGTAATCAAGGAAAACAATTTTTTTTTTAACCCTTTGGATTTTAAGTTTTGATACAGTTTAGGCCAGCAAAATGTAAATAAGATAGCAAAAACTTGCTGAAAACAGGAATCCCTGAAAATTGTGAATTTGGGTTTGCACAAGGGACAAAATAGCAAGGAGGCAGACTTAGTCAAGGCATTTTATGGAAAGCCTTGCCAAAAAGAGGTTGAATATCAAGATACATAAATATCAGTAAATCATGCAGCAATACAAATTGATCTGTAGCACCCTTGCAGTGTTTTGTTTAACTATCAAGACTAATCATATTCTGAGTTTATATAGCCATTAAAACGACGTTTCTATTTTCAGTAAAATCAGGAATTTGTTGACACTGCTGTACATTCTCTATGGAAGCCAGTAAAAATCTTTTCTTTTCCACGGTATTGTATCTGAGCAAGTGCTGACCTATGCAGTATGGGAGAAGGACGCCCTTTACTGTCCAACTTTATATTGCGGGTCGGGTGAATTACCTGGTTCTGTCTCCGCTGTGAGATCTGCTGTCACAAAGTTGGATGGAAAGAGCCCTGTGCCTCGGAAATTCTCCCCCTTCCACCAGTTTACATCCCTGTGCAGTAGAAAAAGGAGAGAACCATTAGTCGACTTGTTCTATAGAAATCTCTCTCATGGTGTGGTAAATTAGTATTCATTCCAAAATATAACCTAACACTATACCTAATCCCAAACTCTACCCTGACCTAAAATTAAACCCAATATCATATTCATATAACCTCATTGCACAACCAGCTTTATAGTAAGGTTTTATGAATATGGACTCCATTTACTTATTAAAGTATTTCAATGTATGTATGTTTCTTTCCTGAACCATTGGTTACCAGCTATGCAGAGCGGCATCTCTATGGAAGGAGATTTGCTTTGCATACATCAGTTGTTGCTATGTCGGACAAACCTCTGATCAACTTTTCAGTCATCAAGAGAAACTTTTTTATCTCAACCTTCTCAAAAATTATGTATCAACATTATTAATTATTACAGGTCTATTGCAACCTTCCTCCCAATGCAAGGATCTTTGAGTTTGAGTTTATTAACAACAAAAATAATAACAAGTAAAACATAATGTATCAAGCATGATTACATAAAATATAACAATATAACACAAGATCGATAACATAACACATGAATAATATAAATATTGTTTTACAAAGTATGTCGTATATAAATGGAATAAAATATTATGTGTATACTTTTGTTGTTAAAGGGGGTACCAGAAGTTAGCACAAGTGCTAGTCGAGTCTGGTTCCCTGTCTTTGGCAAGAATTTTTAAACTATTTTTTTTTTTTTTTTTTTTTTACTATACTACGTTATCTACATGATAACATGACATAAAACCTGGGGCCTGTTTCACAAAGCCTTTTTTCAATGACAAATGATAAAAATCAGTGACAAATCTGCTGATAACCAATCAGGAGCAAGGATTTCAGTAGCTTGTAACAAAAACTGTCATTTGTCACCGATGACCAGTTTTGTGAAAAGCCCCGACATATTAGAGTCATACCTGTCGTCTAGTACACTGATGATCTCTCCAGCCTTGAAAGTGAGTTCATTATCCTCCGCGGCCTCAAAGTCATATAGTGCTTTGACCTTCCTAGATTCCTTGGGCTGTTGCTGCTGGATCGGTGAGGCGTACAGGGCGTTGGTAGAGGGGTACAGGCTACCGGTCGTACCCCCTCCTCCTCCCCCACCACCTCCGCCCCCGCTGGGACTTTGACTGGAACTCTTGTTGTTTCCTAATGATAACGCAATGGCTGCAGGAGACAGAAAACAATATATATAACTTTACATGCATCTTTCTATTTTCCCATTTATTTCAGGCCATCTAATAATAGAAAACAGCTTTAAAGAGAAGGTAGAGTTCTGATGAAGGTGGTAAATAATATATATTAGCTTTTTCGATCTTTTCTCGTCGGTTTGTAAGGGTATTCTGTCCCTGGAAAAAGAGTTTTCCTCTTCAAATGCCCTTGTGCATAGTCCCATATACACATTTCCGTTTGCAGTGCATTTGATTTCCAGCAAGATTGATTCAATTTGATAATTGTAGAATTCTAAAACCAAAAGAATGCACCAACTCTTATGCACTACATAATAAATCTTTCTTTCAAATGGCTTCCAAACATTTTATTTCACAATGCAATCTTATAATTCTGAAATCAGAAATTCTTTTGTTTGATGTGTGAAAGTGAAAGACATATTTTTTTCCTTTGATTGGTAAATGAATATTAATTCCATGCTACAAATAAGACTAATTGCGTTGCCTAATTAAAAAAAAATATAACAAAAAACAATAACACTTAAACCATCACCATCAACAAGAATAATAAAAACAACAACTACAAAGTGTAGTTCAATTAATAATCAGTGGTTATTGCATTGGAAGGAATAACACACATACAGGCTCCTTTAAAAACCCTGTCTTTTATTTTCATTTTCATTTTTTTTTAAATTAAAAAATAAAAATTTCTTCCCATTGTTACCTTTTGCAATATCATCCTCCTCTTGCTGTGTAGAAACTACATTTGGATCATTGCTGTATGTCTGTACAGCTTTCTGCAAAGTATAAGCAATAGACAAACAAAATCAGTCAGACTTTAATACTGAAGGGTACCTTTCACATTAGCGACTTGGCGACTGTTGGCGTAAACATGATTTATCGTAGCAAGGAGTTACGAGTGCTGTGCAGTATGGCATAAAATCACAACAGCAAAAAAGGTTTGATATTTATGTATTATTTTTTAAATGGTCGCTGAGTACTTAAGTATCCGTTCTCAATTACCTCATTACATGCTTATGCACAGCCTTACATCAAATGATTGTTCAAATCAATTGTTGATACAGAATACATCCAATAACAGCCTGATTTGCACTTTGATCCCATCGAAGGCTGAAACATTTTTGCGCATATCAATTTTTTGTGAGTTTTTCCAAATTAGCCAGTGCTCACTCAAGCTTAACGATTTGGTTTCATACTTTTACCACCATCCGATTAAATAGATCCTTACCCATAATTTCATAGAGAAAATTCATGCAGATACAACATGAAAAGTGGTCTTTACAGGCAGGTGGTCTTAATGTACAGGTTTCTTTAGTACAGGCTTAAATTAGAAACTATATTAAATGGGAAACAAGAAATGTGGTCTTGTTATATACATGTAGGTGGTTGCTAAAGCAGTTTTGACTGTATTATGAAATTTAAATTTTGCAGGATCTTTACAATGTGTGGACTTTTCTTAATATGCACTATAAATAGGTTTTACACTAATAATCACGAGTCTGGAGGCACTTACTGGTGGGTCATCTGACGTAGAGAAACCAAAACCTTCCGTCTTCAGACTGTTGTACAGCTGTGTAACCAAACTAGAAAATAGGAACAGAAGTGATCAATCATTTATAAATCATGGCATGAAATGTTGTTTTCTCCTAAAGATTTCAGTGTAATCAAACTGGCACTACGTATTACAAGAGTTACATGTAGTTGGCCTCACACATCCGATGGTCTATATGAATGAATATGCTTGAAGAGCTCTGAGCCTCTGTTGCTCTTTCACAATTGTCTTGCACAAGTCAGCCACTTTTATTTTTATGTAAAACAGTATTAATATCAAATGTAATTTTATTACTTCCTTTCACTTTCTTTTTGAATTACACCACTCAATTATCTACACTTGATGTGCAAGGTTCAAGAGAGGATTTTCTATGATTTTCTATGATTTTAAGAGAGCAACTTCATTTTTTTTAATACTCTATAAATCTTTTCCACAAGAAACTGGAAAAAAATATCATTTTGCTGGAGAATATCCACATCTTCTCCTTATCATAATAGTAATTTCAACTTTCACCAAAATATATATATATATATTCTTTTTTTTTTTTTTCTGATTGATCTTGAACTCTCACAGATATGTTTTTTCTAAATTATATCAATGTTCAATCAGCCCAACAATGAAGATTAAATTCCCATTTACTCCTCGTTTACATGTTACATGGTAAAATCACCTTGGAAATACTGAACATGAAGCTCCAAAACTTTAGAATGTCACATGATCATATTTTAGCCCATTAACATATCCTTGGATTCACCAATCACATGACCTTTTCAGTCACATGACCTTACCTGCATGAGGGATCGTTCTTCATTTCTTTCTCTGCCCAGTCCTTCAATAAGAGCCTCATTTTCTCTGACACTTTGGGATGACCCTGCAATAACAAATTTCAGGAAAATATCAATTGATGCCAAGGCTACTGGTTTAGAGTGTACAATGAGTGTTTAATCATTAAAGAGAAATCCAAACTTGATAGCAAACTACTCTAGAGCAAAGCAGAAAAAAATCAGACCGGTGAGAGTTTGAATGAATTAGGGAAAAAAGTGAGAAAGTTATGCATTTCTAAAAGTTATAATCTTTGTAGGTATGGGCTCTTCAAATTCTCTGAATCGGTTAAATGACTCTGTGGTGTAGAAGAGGACAATTTTCCTATTTGTTCCAACACAAAAAATGACTCAAATTTCAATTTGAAAAAGTGTATGACTCAGGATGGTCTTTCCTATTTGTGCGACCTATAATTAGCTATCCAGAATATATTTTGAGTAGTGCTCCCCAAGGGAGAAGGCGCCTAAGAGAGAAACAGAAATTAAGGACATTTCTCTACACAACAAATGGGAGAGTTAATCCTCGACTTCGTCACAATCCAGTTACCAAACTGCCAATTTGAGATTCGCACAAACTTAGTAATATCTTATATTTGAAACGTTCGTATTTTCCTTACTATTGGTCCGATTTTTTCAAATTTTTCGCCATTCTGTTTATATTATCTGTCTGCATGCTTTCATTCAACAGAAATTATTACAAGGGTTGGATTGACCTTTAATTTGCTCTACAAACCCAAGGTTGGTCCACAAACAACAATTCAAACATACGTAAAACTGGAACGGGTAAGGAGTATATGAACTGATGTACTTGTAAAGTACATAGTCCCTCCGGGTTGGGCTCCACGGCTTGTTTAAGGGCTGTAAGGTTCTTAGATGCACTATTGTGCAATCTGATCCATATTTGAAGCATTTAAACCAAATTTATGGCTAATATTTCCAGAAATAATTTCGAATGAGAATGAATATTAACCTGTTGCTGATTTTCAAACCTGTGGACCACCCTGATAATCCATAATATATTTTGTTTCTTTTTGCCCAATAAAATGCACAATGTAACGGGTCGATTTCCCCCATGGCAATCCCATATATATTAGTACCATGTTTATTGTTTAAAGCTTTGGGGCTTCCTCACTATGGCTTCCAGTAATACTTGTCTGTGCAATGACCTATGACCTACAGTGACCCCCAAATCATATCAGTTCATCATCATCAAAGTAATCTTGTATCACTCAGTACTTTAATCAGAACACAGTTCTCACACCTGTAACCCCTTTGATAGGACCTGCAGTCCTACATATGCTGTAGGGCCTCAGTATCCCCTGTATACACTTATTACTCACTACGAAAATTCTATTTTGGAAGGTTTCTGTATTTTCTCTCCCTCTTGCGAAAAGATAGTTCTTATAGATGAACTGTCTGTACATGTATGTGTGAAATTGCTGTTGCACCAGCATACTTGATACACTTACACAAAATAGTCCTACATTGTTTATGTGCCATTTTTTTATGAGGGACAAATTTTGTTACATTTTATTGGGGGGGGGGGGGGGGGGGGGTATACATGTACATGTATGGTATGTACAAAAGTTGACAGTCTCACACCGTGTCACGCGTGACTGCATGCATTATCCCATACACCTTGGTGTGACTTGGTGGTAATGTGTCAACTATATTTCAAGCAATACTGTTGGGCAGTCAGAAACTAACTAATGCCTAACGGCTTAACAAAATAAAAACGAAAATCAAATAATAGCAAAATGATACCTGATAGCAAATGGTTTCTAGCAAATTGATGTACATTGTACTCAATGCAGGCTAACCTTTTTTTTTTTTTTTTTTTTTTTTTTTTTTAAATAAAAAATAAAAAATAAATACCGGGTAAATAAATAAATAAATAAATAAATTAATTAATTTTAAAAAATGGGAAAACGAAACCGTCCAATTGAAAAACTGATAGTGCCATGGACGGTCGGATACCGGATGTTTGACGACAGCACTAAATTTGAGGGTAACATTTTAACAGTCAATATGTCATGGATATTCTCAAACAAAGACATGCAGGCAGGGCAAACTCAAATGTACAATGTACAGTACATGTGCATGCATGTGCATGAATGTTATTATACATGTACATGTTTGTAAGTTATAATGCAGGCAAATGATCATTTGTTTACATTTTGTCATACTTCTCTCTATAAAGGAAATTGACATAGATCTAATCAAGTACTTCCTGCTAGGTCATGCTTGTGAGTTATGACCAACAATACATACATAATACTTTTTTTTCATAGCTACACTGGTATACAGCTTGAACCTAATTTTCTTCTTTACTATACAGTTACAGTAGTCAACAACAAAACCAAAAATCCCTTGTTTTAACATGGTAAAGGAATCTAGGGTCATCAGTCTTGGATATTTGTAGCAATGATAATGCTAGCAGCTATTTCTCAATTTTTCTCATAAGAAATATTTTTTGTTGCTTTGCATTTGACTCTTGTGTCATTAATCAAGACAGGCAGGCCCCTACTACTACACACTATGAACATGACAGACAAAGAAAGCGGACAAAATATACAGTTCCTCAGGTAGACAAAGGAACATCCCTTCAGTGCTTTTATGTAAAATGGTGAATGTGCATGTGACACCTGTTCTACACATTTTTACATAATAGCAGTGAAGGGATAATCCTTTGTCTACCTGAGGAACTGTATATTTTGTCCGCTTTCTTTGTCTGTCATGTCCATAGTGACAGCCTAAAGCCTGAAATAATTTGTCAGGTGAGCTTTTTTGTCATAAATGGACCTAGAATATACTAGAATGACAGCTACTATGTATGAGTCATCTACGTAGATCTACAGTACCTTCTATACACCCTCCTAGTACCTGCATAATGTACATGATGGAGAGTGTATCAGTACAGTGTATCAGTACATGCTTACATTGGACTGTACATATGGGCACATACATGTAGCATTGTGCATGAACAATAGAATTCTGTTATCACTCAGAGTGGGGAATCCCACGTGTACAATGAAGAATAGACGGTTTGCAATATTGCACAATAATTGGAGTTAACCTTCCAGGAAGTCTAAAATGATGGTTACAAAGGAGTCTCTATGATAAGAGTTTAAAAACAAATTATTAAGTATCAAAGCCCCTCTAACAATTTGATGGCAAAATGTCACATAAATCGTATCAAACTATCATAACGTGAAAAAGGATGTCATTTAAGACACATTTCTGCAAGGATTTTCAAAACAAATGTGTTTGAAGTTGAAAATAATGTTAGAATGCAACAAAAATAGGTTTTCTGCATACAACAGAAAACCCAAATTATGTTTTCATTTATTCATATTCGTCTTCAAACACAATTTGGGGGATAAATCTCTGCAGAAGAGTGTCTTAAATGACACCCTCTTTCACATTATGATACAATTTAAGTGAAATTTTGCCATCAAATTTTTGGTGAAGTTGGGGCTCCCAACACTTTTGAGGGGCTTTAAACAGAATGTCTTTTTCATATGAGTCAATAATTGACATGGGTCCTAGAATACCAATGTCACAGTACTGGTAGCATACATATCAAGACAAGGTTTCCATGTTTTGGTAATCAATTCAAACTTTAAATGCAACTTACAAATACAATGTTTATTATTCACTAGGCAGTCTAGATCATACAATTTTTTTTTAATTGTTGAATTCTGAATTTCTGAATGAATATACTGTACATGTATGCCAGGGTCACTCCTCAAAAACAAGGAAATTCAAAAGGAAAGCAATAAACAGAAAACATTTTATAAATGTATATATATGCTATGCATATAACGTTAAATATATTGAATATATGTAAGTGCAACATTATATAAAGTGTAAAAAATAATGTAATAATGTCAAAGATTCATGTTTGTAAGCACAAAGACAAAATGATGTACATCAATGAAAGAATAAATTCATGGAAATTTGTAATCCATCAATACAATGATTAAGCTACAAAAACAATCTTCACATATTTTAACAAACTCAGAGACAAGAACCTTTACTGGTAAACAGTGTGCATAAAAGAATGTGAGTATAAACAATGCTAAAATAAGTGTACAACAAATTGAATCACTTTGATAATCAATTTTCTTTTCCCAAACTGGTAGCTCTATTTTAACATGGGATCTTTGTTGACGTGCAATCAATGTAATCTGTTAAATAACCGTCTACCAGCTAAGTTGATTATTATCCACAAGTCTGGATCAATAGTTCAGGTGAATTTGCAACATGATAACGGGAGGCATGTGTGCCATCCCCCTCCCCCCCTCCTCAAAAGTAATTTTAAAAGATCTGTTACATGCTTGTTCAAGTGTGACCCCTCCTACATTTGACCACATTTTTTCAAGTATCGAGTATGACAGAACATTACAGGCTCTAAAGACCACTTACATCAGGTATAACACCAAATCCCCACTCTCTCTTTCTCTTCGTCCCTTCCCATTCTCTCCCCTTTTCCTCTCTCTCCCTTTCTCTGCATACCATCTCTTTGTCTCTCTGTCTACCCCTTTTTCTGTCTCTCCCTCTCTCCCATCTTTCCTCTCCCTCTTTCCCCTCTCCCTTTCTCTGCACACCATCTCTCTGTCTATAGCTGTCTCTCCCTCCCTCTCTCTGTCTCTCCCTCTCCCATCTCCCTTTCTCTCTCCCACCTTCCTTCCCTCTCTCCCCTCCCGCTCCCTCTCTTCCTCTCACCCTCCCTATCAGGTGTAATCATCTCTTGCACTCACCTTACTAACGATATTCCTGGCATCGGCGCAGAAGTCCCTGGAGCTCACCTCCTGGTGGAATAGCTTGCCACCATTACTCACACAAGCACCTAATAGCTGCAGTGGACATGAGACAAAACGATAACAATGTCAAAGGTCATACTGTGTATCCCAGCAGCACTTACACCCAAGATATCATGTCTAGGGCTCATATTTTTATTATCATTATTATCATTTTTATCATTGTACCCTATATATTGTCATTTGATAACAGTAAAATCAAAGGGAGTCCTGGGACAACTTTTAATACAAAAACTGACTAACAATTTGGCCTTAAATTTCACAGCATACCATATTTGTAATCAGAATATAGTCATGTTAGTGTCCACTGTCCAACAATAGAAAGTTTGGAAATCAACCGTATGGACAGACATATACATGTAATATAACAAAATAATATATAATAATATAAAATATTATTGGTGGTTAAGATTATTCACAGGTCTTTTCAATCACCCATAAATACAAGGAGGGCAATTTCAATGTACCTGTATTTACTATTATAAAATACAATGCAGCATCAGTATCTCATCAGATCTCAAAAGCTGGTTAAGTTGTAAACTTTCATTTCCAGAAAATGTATGTAATTCATTGTTATTTCACATTTCAATGAAAGCAGTTAAAATGCCATGATCCTAAAAAGTAATGGTAATGAAAATAACAGCCAGATTAATTAAAACAGTACAGAAAATGGGACTCACCATTAAACTTTGCAACTGAACATGTGGATTAGGAGTCTTTAATCTCCTCATGATAGACTTGAAAGCATCTTTTGGCCTGAGAAAAAAAAAATCAATATTGCATTTATCAAGTTAAAACAGGAGAAAAAATCACAAATGCATCGATACTTACACGTAATACATGGTTCATGACAAATTTCTGTTCGATATAATATACCATAGATGCTAATTTGATTTTATATGCAAAAGCAAATTGTTCTTTGCTTGTTTTAAACACAGAAATAATTATTTTCATCTTGCCTTCTCTAGGCTATCCAGAGAAGTACCGATGATACATGGCAGTACATTATGATTTAGTTCTGAGTAGCTATAAAATAGCTCAGTTATCCAAATTAAATGTGAAATTTCCATGTAAATTGGTAGAAATCCGTCTTCTTATAAAAACTGTCACTCTTTCTCCTATCCAATCAATGTCACAATTTTAAATAGTGTAATTAATAAAAGTTTTGGTTTGGAAGTGGGGGCTGATTAATTGTTTATCTCTGTAACATCAAACCATCAGATGCTCTGAGCAGTGAAGATAAGTGAAACCCATTTAGAAGCCCTAGGAAGGACTGGAGAAAAAATGTTATACCAAACTACAACCAGGATATATATATGTATTGCTGAGCTACATGTATGTAAGGACACATTGATTAACCCGCTGCCTCTAGGACCTGGGTGGTCCCTGTAACGTAAAAACATAAATCTTGCTATTTAAAGATCATACTTACGCATTTGAATTAGCCTTTATTCTGTCACAGATATCTAGAATTAGTCCCCAGTCTTCTGTTGTATTAGCCTCACTTGTTACTTTATCTAAAATATAAGAAAGTCAAAAGATAATTTTCAAAGAAGTGAAAGCATATTGTACATGTACATCAGTAGTTGTTTCATAATCAGTATAGTCATTTGTCCACATTTGTACTTTAAGAGGTCATATTGTTCTTTAATAAAATACATCACATTTCACATAACATCAATAAAAGAGGAAAGAGACTAGATCTAGTAAAAGGAATTTAACAATACTCTATTCTTTGTAAAAACAACGTCCCTTGCTTCATATTTAATCCTAAGAACAAAGAATTTGGAATGCACAGTGCATTTCAAAATTTAAGGAATGATCCTACATAATTGGCCAGGATCAACATTGTGAAGTGTGAACCCCCATCAGAGGTCAACATTTTTGTAATGCAAATCACTCATCAGTTCGTTATCATGATGGAACACGAGGAAGGCCAAACTTCTATCACTCTGGTAACTAGGCCTGAGTCATGTCGGGATTTTCATAAACCGGGTCCCGACGGCCTTGCACCGATCGGGACCCGGTGTCCCGAAATCAGCTCGCAGGATTTGTCACTTGCCTCTATAAAAAGCGCATCATCAGTATGTCCCTTAAAAGTGACCCTTTTTATCAGTCAAATAAATCAACACATGCATACCTCGGCACAGATCGGTATATTCTTCCATTTGACATTATTTTTATCCATGATTGGCGATGTTTAGTGCCATTATCATGCCTCTAAAAGTTAAAAAAACTGGAGCAAAAATAGAAAGACAACGATCGAGCCGCCATTTTGATTCATGCAGGTTGAATAAATCGGGTCAAAAAACATTAATGTTTGAATAATAAAACGGCTTTCTAAAAAGTACTCCTTTACAACATACCGATCGAATAATTTTTAAAAACAAAATAGATATTTTTTCTTTGATTTTGAACACCGCATGCTTCTTTTAAAAGCTGAAATTACTTGGTAATCACAAGAAGTTTCGATACGGATAGCTGTTGCAAGGCAAGTTCAGACTAGTCTCGGAAAAATGCGCAGTGCTCCTTGTTAGCTGTAATGCGTGCCAGAACGAACCCAAACAAAGACGTGATCGTAACGAGAGAAAAATCATTAAAAACTACGAGAGCACAATTGGAAAGACAACTACTGCTCAAAATTACGATAATCAGATAAATAACTTGGACAAAGAATTCAATAATCGCCCAAGAAATGCCAAAGAAATTGTGATAATCGAGGAGTAACTGGGTACATTTTTATCGCAAGGGGCTTGCTGATACTCGAATCCTTTGTTATACTGCTTTTTACCGTAGAGGGCGTTATTTGGTTTCTAGCCTCGTGTTAGAACACGAGGCTAGAAACCAAATAACGTGTAATTCGGACATATCAGCAGGCCCATTCCGATAATGATTGTACCTATAGTAACTCCTTAAATATCACTATTTCTGTGGCTTTTCTTGGACAACTATTGTATTATTCCTCCAAGTTATGTATCTGCTTACGATAATTTTGAGTAGTTGTCTTTCCAATTGTGCTCTCGTAGTTTTTAATGATTTTTTCTCGTTACGATCACGTCTTTGTTTGGGTTCGTTCTGGCACGCATTACAGCTAACTACGAGGAGCACTGCGCATTTTTCCGAGACTAGTCTGAACTTGCCTTGCAACAGCTATCCGTATCGAAACTTCTTGTGATTACCAAGTAATTATCAGCTTTTAAAAGAAGCATGCGGTAATCAAAATCAAAGAAATAATATCCATTTTGTCTTTTAAAAATTATTCAATCGGTATGTTGTAAAGAAGTACTTTTTAGAAAGCCGTTTTATTATTCAAACATTAATGTTTCTTTCAACCTGATTTATTAATCCTGCCGAGGTCGAGAGACCCGGCCAGTACAGTAGCTAGCTAGCAGCTGGCAACAACCCCATGGGGCGAACTATGCTTTGCAACCCATATTTATATCAGCAGTTCGGATTGATTCAGGATGAGCTAGAATATGATTGGTAACAATTAAATACTTAAGTTTCAAGGTGGAATGATTTTAGTGGTGTGCAAAACTGCAATTTCTTACATATTTCATTATTTTTTTCGGAGCGTCGGTTCTCAAAAAACGAAACCGGGACCCGACGGCAACGGTCGGGTCCCGGTGTGATCGACCGTACCGACTCAAGCCTACTGGTAACAAATTTCTCCATTTTTCAATTTTCAAAGCGCGTACAAGAAGAAAGACGAATCCTTCAGCGAACCCCGAACCCTGTTGTTGCAAGGTTTCTAGTGTGTGAGAATGGGGGATCCCGTAGGCCGTACACATTTGTGATTAAAACTGTAAACATGGCTCTCCACATAGGCGTAAATCTTCATGTATGTGGATGCAAGCCAAGCAAATTGCAGTCACATTCAATTCCATAAACACATAGGCCTAAATCAATAATCATATTTATAAATTACCAAGCCCTGCCCTGCTGTACTGCCGTAGGACCCTAGGCTGTAATGCATCACCAGTCATTTTCTTAATAATTAAATAGACATATTCATTCCAATCATGGTACAATTTAACCCCCTACCCACTTTTCAACAAAGAAAAATAGACTTCAATCAATCAGCATCATCATGATCATGACAAATTGACATGTCTCATAGGCCTAACTTAGTCTAAGTCTATTCATAATTCACAACACAACATTCATTTGAAAAGCTAAGTCAGATCTAAAAGTCGAGATCATACTGTGGATTCTTTTTAACTCACCAACATCAGTATCAAACGGTGTTCCACCAAACAACGGCATTGTGAAGATTGTGATTGTTTATCATATAAATGTCGAATGATTTACACACGTATGACTATAACACAGCATCAGAAGATGGTTCAGCTCCAGTATTATGTGCTGTGAATACACCTTCTATGAAAAGTCTTCTGCGCAAGTGCAATAGCAGCTGGACCCGACAAAATGACGTAATGTAAATGGCTCGCTCATTACATTTGAACAATATTTTTGTTTTAAAGAAGTTTTTAATAATATAATAAACAAAAAGCATTGCTTTGTTGTATTAATAAAATATTAACATAACAAAAATATTTTTTATTTCCAAATATTACAATGTTATATTTTAAAGCTATATGCGGTATATCTAAAAACCTCACTTTACAGACCAACATTCGGGCAAAATGGCAGAAGGTCGTCGAGGGTTCGGTAATGACTAATTTTGATATATTTGTAATAACCCCATGATTTGTGAGTAATGTCTACTGTCACAGAATGGTACAAATATACCTGACGGATACATTTTTTGCGAAATTAAATATGTAATGATGATGTTAACTTGTGAAGGTACCGAATATAGTGGGCCCCGCGGCTGACCTGTCCTGAGTCCACCTAGATTATCTGCCCCGATGCGTCGGGGCATCAGCGCAGCTCAGCCTGACGGGAACCGGTGGCTGCTCAGCTCCGGCAGGCCACAGGCCAGGTGTGTTAAGCGAGGCCTTGCGCAACTGATAGTATAACAGCCTAATAACGACATGTATGATGATTTGGTAAAGCAAGGCCAAGGGTTAACTGGGCATGAACAAACTCTTTAGTTTAGATTAAGAGGGAAATACATTTTTCAATTCCAATTTCCAAAAAATTTCGAGTTGAGTTGAAACTTGAAAGTTGAATTGAGCCATTTGAGCTGGTGACAAACTAAAGTCAGTTGATTTTTCTTCCCCAGACTCCTTTTCTCAGGGTTAAGTAATATCAATTTCATTTTTATTTTCTCGTTCATGATTCATCTGTTCAGTGGTAGACAAGAGAAGTGTGGAAAGGACACTGGCAAAGTGGCAAGTGACAATTTTGTACAAAAATTGTAAAACACATCGAGTTTGAGAGGACTGCTGGATAAATAAATGATCATGAAACTTATGTAGACTATGTGACCATTGCTTGGTATTTATCTATGCACAGATGGAAGTATTGTTTTCAAGAGGGCAAGTATTGTTTTCAAGAGGGCAAGCAAAAGTTTCTCATGAAGCACTTTGACTGTGATTAATGCAGAAAGTAAGATGTCTACATGTGTAAACAAAATCTGTGGTCTTGCCTCTTGGGGTAATTTGCACAAGTGCTATTTTGAAAGGGGCTTTTTAAAGGGAAATCTGACCTTGGCTTTAGAGCACACGACTATGAAAGCAAGCAGAAAATCAGAAGAGCATACCGGTGAAAGTTTGAATGAAATCTGACCCTCCAAAAAACAAGAAAGTAAAGAATTTTTGAAAATTGTAATCGCATTACAAACGGGAACTTAAAAATTGGCTGAATCAGGGATGTCACTGTGATGTAGTGCAGGGCACCGTGTCATGAAACTGTCATAAGTACAAGTTCACCGACATCACATTGAAACGCATGTTTAATTTAATACACGTATTTCAATGGGATGTCGTGAACTTGTACTTATGATGGTTTCATGAAACGATGCCCTGGAGGTTTTCTCCATTTGTTCCAACACACAAATTGACTCGAACGTATTTTTTTTAAAGAGGACCTTATTTACTCTCCAAGCCTCCATAACATATTTTCAGTAGTGCCCCAAGGCCAAGAGTGAAGGCACTTGTCTTGGGAGAAAAACAGAAATTAGTGATAATTGTGTACATGACAAATTGGAGAGTTGTCTGTCACTATGTCACAATTCACTGACAAAATTACCAATTTGAGATTCGCATAGCTGTTGCGATCTCATATTTCAAACATTCATAACTTTCTTATTATTGGTCTGATTTGTTTTTAACTTTTTCCATTGGCATTGTGTTTCTCTGAATGTTTTATTTTCTTTCAAATGAACCTATATTACAAGAGTTGGATTTCCCTTTAAATAGTTTGATAAACAAGATTTCACTCTATTCAGTGTTTTCAGCAAATTTGTAAATATTTGAATGTTGTCATTGTTTTGCCTCTTTCCAACAACCTTTAGCTTGGCAAGAGGATGAGGAATTCCTCAGAAAGGTGGAGGTTGAGGTGCTTATCCCCAAGAAGATGAGGGAGTATGCCAAAATAAAATGTGCAGACTATTGTGATGGTAAGAAATGACTCACAAAAGTGGGATAAATGTTAATGCTTTCGTCGCATTTTCAAATCAATTCAAAATTAGAATACAGGTTATTTATCAAGAATAACAAGTATTACTTTACAGTATACATTTTAAATAAAATCTAGATGTTCTCAAATTTATTTCTGTCTATTTAATATGCTTAATATAATTATTTGATTATTTATATTTATTTCTTTATTATATATTTTTATGGAATATGGAAAAGCTTAGCTATGATATTCCTGTTTATATGTACCAGGTAAAGCGATAACATGCACAAAGGCAATACAATCTATGTAGATACAAATAGAACAGAATTTGGTGTCCCAGCAACCTTTCCCCTAATTTCAGTGTTGAGACTTAATACAGGTATCAACTTTAAACGATGGAGAGAATTTGTTGTAACAATATCAAACAAACAAATTTCTTTGCTTTTATCGTTAGCATTCACAAAATGCTGTAAGGAGAAAGGACTGACCATGGCTTATTCATGCCGGAAGGAAAACGGAGCGATGAAGGAATGCATCTCTGGATAGTGAGTATTAGTAGTAATTCACCTCATTCCTATTTCCCCTCAACCACGCTGGACATTAGTAGGCATCCGACACACTTTAGCTCCCTCCCCCCCCCCCCCCCCCCCTCCATATCTTACTCTGGATACCAAAACGTTCAAATGTTAACAGGGGGCCCATGCATACATTGGTCAGTTTAGAACCCATGTGGGGGGGGGGTAGAAGTATGGAGTTCAAGGCCACCCCTTACGACTTAGCTTTCAAATTATATTTCATTAGGGTTGGATTTGAAAATTTAATTTTTGATTCTTTTGAGATTAAAGTGTAGAGTGATCATGGAGGAGTGATATCAAAATCGCAGGATATTGTTTGCTTTCCAGACAGATATAAATCAAAATCTGCAAGTTGATTGGCAGCTTTGTGACGGAGGTTTGATTATGGTTCACGGCTAATTGTGTCTTCTTTTTTTTTTAAAGACTACAAGAAGTCACATCATCTTGTAATATCAATTATGAGGTTTCAGGTATCCATCTGAAGTTTTGAATTTACAGGAACCTCCCCAGAAAACTTCCATCTATAAATGTTCAAATCACTGTTGCACATTATTTCAAAATTCAGAGAGTCATTTGATTGGTATGATCTTCAGTAGATGGAAACTTAACGCTGCATGGATCATTGAAAGTCTTTGGGATACTTTTAATATCTTGGGATCATTCCCAGCTGCAGGATACATGTCATAGATTTTAATCAAGAATTGGGCAGTTTAAGACTATTTCAGAATTGTTTTGTATATCAACAGTAATAAAGTGTGTTAGGATTTCATTATTCATTCCATTTGAAACATGAATTTGTTTCGAGATTGTCTTTTTTTTAGGGAATATGCCTTTTATCCTTTTGCAGTACATTTCATAGATTTTAATCAAGAGATGTGCAGTTTAGGACTATTTCAGAATTGTTTTGTTCATGTAACCTTTAATATGAAATTGTCCTGTAATCAAAGTGACGTACACATAAAGTCAGAGTCAGAACAATTTTATTTAATTCATATTAACGGTAATTTAATGTTCGGGTTTGATTATTCTTTCCATTCCAAACATAAATTTTCCTTGAGATTTTGTGTTTCTAGGAAATATGACTCACATCTTTTTGCAGTACATTTTCTTCTACTGAAGAGGAAAGTGGATTCAAATGGGCTTTTCAAACCAAATGAATTTTGTTTATTTATTTGTTTAGTTATTTGGTTGTATTTATATTGTATTTAGTACCATTAATGTCTAATAGATACCTGTGTTTTGAGAATTTACACTTATTTTTCGATGATATGTTGATTACATTTTTTGTAAATTTTTATTTGCAGTTACAAAAACAAGGAGTTCTTTGAAATGTGCAAGAAAGAGTATTTGGCCGAAAGGAAGGAATTCCGAGAGACAGGAGTGAGACAAAAGGACAAAGCAAAGGCAAAGACAGAAACTTCAAGATGATGAGAATCATCATGCCTTGCTTATGATGTCAAACATTCTTCATGAACTATTTCAGAAGATTCGATAGAGAGCATCTTCCAATGGCAGTGATGCTTGGCGATGAGCTACAGTAATAAGAAGTAAATGGTATAATGTGCTTTAGATTTTCCCCAATCAGTTGAAGCTGTGAATCACATTCAAAGTAATAATGATTATATTGTGATAATGAAAAATGATGATGGTGATGAGGAGGAGTTCTTGTACTATTATTATGAAGATCATGGCAAAGCTAAGTCTTCAAGATGTATAAAGTATTTCCAAGTATACAAATTATCTTTCCTATGCTTCACAAAAGCTACCTTTTATTCTCTGTTTAAAAAAAAAAGTATTATTGCTTTGGGGATATCTTTTATGAGTGGTTTTTTTCAGCTGTCCAAAGCTTAATCTTTGTCTGCTCCTTCACACCCCACCCCCTTACAAAACAGTTTCCCCTCTCATTTGTTTTTGTCGGATGAAGAAAAAAATGCTTATACTTTTGAGATAGCATTATAAGAGAAGAGCAAGGCAAGATTTATCAATGAATTTATAAATAATATGGCCATGTGATGTACTTGAAGTTTATTCCTTTGCCGGTGAATGATGGAAATCAACACTTTCATGATCTATGCTTTCTCCCAAGTGAATCTCATAACGCATTTGATGTAAGAAAAATATGTATTACACTGAATTGAAAGCATATACTTAGACCAGCTTTCCTTAAATCCTTTACAAAAATGGACCATATATCACGGTAAAAATATCCATTGATTTTTGGTTATTGTGAAATTTTGTATTTGAGAAAAAAGCTCTATAAAATTCGGGTTGCATCACTTACATGGCTTCTGATACATAAAGATTATATTGTATCATTAGTATGTCATGTACAACATATTACTATAGCGCCATCATGTGGTGGAATAGTAGATAACTATTTGGATGACCTGCAGATGAGCCAGTGGAGAAAATGTTATTTTGAGAAGATGTACCTGTAATTTTTTTGTTTTTGTATTAGTAATTTTGATATTTCAAAAGGGATTTCCCCACCTCCTAACATGCACTGTTGTCTAGGGTGTTATATTTGTATTTTTTTTGTAAATGGAATCGATTTTCAAATGGCAAAAATAATTGCTATATTGGACAAATGAGAGTAATGCACTCAGCTTTTATATTGAATAAGAAGGAATCAATCTTGTCTGATTAAACACATCTTTCCTTTTTTTTCTTACAGAATGTTTCTCTGTCAAAATTTCTGTCAGTATATTTTCTTTGTATGTATGGTTGTGGGATTAAGTTTACCATAAGGTATTGAACTATACAATTTTCAGTATGCTATGAAAATCAGATGCAGGCTTAATATGGTACATTTATGTCATTTATGTAAAGAAATGAATATATACTTCTAAGGCTAAACTGATTTTTTTTTTCTTTTTTCTTTTTTTTTTTTTTTACATGTGACCAACGAGGACTTGTCAGTATTGTTCGTTTTTTCTAAATCAAAGTCAGTTTGCAAAGCAGACTTTATATATGTGTGTGTATTCTCGTTTTCTCCTTTTATCTTTAAAGGGAAACGACTGTTATGTCTGGAAGTTGAACTTTGACAAACAAATTATGAATGCACAGTTTCTGTGAAAATATGTTTATTAAAACATTTCCTTCAAGTCAAAGAATTGAAATGTAATTGTATGGTTGTATTTTTGGTATGCATGTTCTGTGAACACTTCAAATGACATGGCAATGGACAGAGAAACAAGAAGAAAATGAAAGAAGATTTTTTTAAATAGGAGAAAGAAAATGGCGACCTACATGAATAGCAAAAGAGGGCAAATTTTTGCCTGGTCCTCCTTACATTTAGAAGACCTGTTTATTAGTTTAGTTACAACAGAAAGGGGAAAGTTCTAACATGACAGATTATTATAACAATAGAAGATTCATCATTAGTGATGCCGACTTTAAAAATAATTATTGGTCCAATCTTCTGAAACTTGCTTGATCCAGTACATTTCTCTATTTTTCTAGTTTCCAATAATCTCTCTGTCTCTCCCTCCTTCTTTCAAGTTTCTTTCAAGTTTCCTTCTAAATCATACCAATACATTCTTTTGTTGATTTTGTCTGCCAAGAGCCCAAAGGGCAGTTACTCTAGTGACTACTAACTAATTTGAATGATAATCGTTCTAGTTCAAAGCAGAAAATATTAATCTGACTCTCCTTACATACATGTATGTCTGTAGCAAAATCCCCATCCTCAGGCAAAGTGTTTGCAATATCCAAGTTGATACAACTTAAATTAGGGTACTATAAACATGTTCGGTCATTTTTCACTCGGTAGCTCTTCTCGACTCTCTCCATCTTTTTATCTCTCCATCTCCCTTTATCCCTTCTCTCTTCATCTCTCTCTTCAAACCCCCTCCCCTCTCGCTCCCACCCTTTTCTTTCTCTCTTCATCTTTCTATTTCATTCTCTCTCTTCCATCCCCTCCCCTCTCTTGCTCCAACCCCTTTTCTTCTATCTATCTCCTCCACCCCCCCCCCCCCCTCTCTTGCTCCCACCCCTTTCCTTCTCTCTATCTCCTCCACCCCCCCCCCTCTCTCGCTCCCACCCCTTTCTTTCTCTCTCTCTATCTCCTCCACCCCCTCCCCTCTCTTGCTCCCACCCCTTTCTTTCTCTCTCTCTCTCTATCTCCTCCACCCCCTCCCCTCTCTTGCTCCCACCCCTTTCTTTCTCTCTCTCTCTCTATCTCCTCCACCCCCCCCCCCCCTCTCTCGCTCCCACCCCTTTCTTTCTCTTTATCTCCTCCACCCCCTCCCCTCTCTTGCTCCCACCCCTTTCTTTCTCTCTCTCTATCTCCTCCACCCCCTCCCCTCTCTCGCTCCCACCCCTTTCTTTCTCTATATCTGCTCCACCCCTCCCCTCTCTTGCTCCCACCCCTTTCTTTCTCTCTCTCTCTATCTCCTCCACCCCCTCCCCTCTCTTGCTCCCACCCCTTTCTTTCTCTCTCTCTCTATCTCCTCCACCCCTTTCCTTCTCTCTCTCTATCTATCTCCTCCACTCCCTCCCCTCTCTGGCTCCCACCCCTTTCCTTCTCTCTCTCTCTGTCTCCTCCACCCCCTCCCCTCTCTCGCTCCCACCCCTTTCCTTCTCTCTCTCTCTGTCTCCTCCACCCCCTCCCCTCTCTCGCTCATACCCCTTTCATTCTCTCTCTCTCTCTCTATCTCCTCCACACCCCCCCCCCCCCCTCTCTCGCTCCCACCCCTTTCTTTCTCTATATCTCCTCCACCCCTCCTCTCTCTTGCTCCCACCCCTTTCTTTCTCTCTCTCTCTCACTATCTCCTCCACCCCCTCCCCTCTCTTGCTCCCACCCCTTTCTTTCTCTTTCTCTCTATCTCCTCCACCCCCTCCCCTCTCTCGCTCCCACCCCTTTCCTTCTCTCTCTCTCTCTATCTCCTCCACCCCTTCCCCTCTCTCACTCCCACCCCTTTCTTTTTCTCTCTCACTGATCCCAGCACATGAACATCATTACATTACAAGAATCACAACTTCAACAAGAAATATTAAGCAGCATCGGTTTATTATCAAATTATGCATCCATGATCCAGACTCGAGTTGAGTCTGCTTTTTCAAACTAAAAAATAAAATGTACAATTTCTGTTTTTACTAATAACTACTGACCTTTGCAATATTCTTTCCTTTTCGTTGTATCACACCATATTTCTAGAGTTGCCATGCAAACTACAAAACTATTTTACATAAATGTTGAGAAGACATTTTTTTATAGCTTAACAGATTATGAAAAGGCTTTAAATTGAGGCACAAAGGCCAAATCAATAAGGCACAGATGTAGATATAATACCTCAGACACACCACCAGACCGACTCCAAACTGACAAATTCTTGGCCATTGTAATTATTTGTTTGGTAATCGTTTGATCGGTCTGGTTGGTACAACTGGGGAATAACTAAAAAATTACTCAATTATTATGACAAAGCCTCGCACATACGGAAGAATATGCCCTTGAAATAAAACGACACCTTTCCTCTCTCCAATTACATAAAGGAATGTAGAAGAAATATCAGTATAAAAATAATGTGCAATAGGAGATATTCTCTCATGGATTTGCATGCATATTTGAATCTCAAACAAAGATAAACACAAAAAACAGAGTAATGATGACTATATTGGGTAGTGCCAAGTGGGTACACAGAATACTTTTGAGATTATGAGGTACAAAACATCTTGAGGAGAAAGCTAATAATGGCTATATTTTCTGACACACTGCATTTCATATTATATATAACGAAAATGAAAGATTTTTAATTGAAGAGAGACATGATTGATGAAAATTATATGAAATACACTGTACATCCTTTCAAAATTTCAATATCAATGCATATATAACATACTGACTGAAATCTTTTGAGAATACTTGTCAACATCTAAAGAAATCAATTTTTTAAATACATGTAATTGACTTCATCAGAAATTCATCCAAAATATTCAAAATATTATTTTCAAATTATAACTTTCCAATTCCCTGAGACGAAAATTCATGAAGTATTTAAAATGTATTGGGTTGTGGGAAGATGGCAAAACCAAAATAAATGTACCCTGCCAGACAATAAATGAGGGATGGATTCATATTATAAATCAAGTGAAATTATTTTAATTTGTTAATAACAAATGTAAAGTGCATCTTTAAATTATTTTTTGTGCACATATATGTCTTCCACAAATGAAGAAAAAAACTTAAATGTACACACAAGCATTAATAAGCCCCTGAAGTATAAATATTTGTCCCTACTCCCTAAAATAAAGACAAAATAAACTTCGAACTGCTACCTTTGATGGTTCTCTCATGCATTTATCCCTACCTCATATTTGATTAAAATTTCAATACGATTTAGAAATATTATACTTGAAAGCCTATGATGCAACAACCTTCACATTGTATGCACAATACCTTACAACAATCAGCCAGACATCAAGTTTTAAACATACATGTAGTTAGCTGCGCATTTTTATGCTGAAATCAATGTTGGGTTACTTTGAGACACTTTTCTTAGTTCTGGTATGTTACAAAACTTGAATCATGCTCTTGGAATGATACTAATGTTGACGATATGGTTGTCCCATTTCTCAAAATTGAAATTTTGTATGATAAATATAATTTAAATTGTCTTTTCTTCATGCAATAGCCAGAGATTGCATTTATAAATAAAGACAACAACAACGAAAATGTTAATCCATCAGACATAATCTCATATTTCATTAATAGAAGTCAAATCAGTTAAATCATAATTCAACAGCCTATAAAGGATTTGGCAGACAATCAATATACCCTACATCTACAGGAATATTGTTTTGTGTACCTTGGTTGCTAAATACATTTTGACACTCATTTTAATTCTGTTTTATCATTTCTGGCACGGCAATGAATCCCTGTAATGGAATGTCACATCATATTACAGAACAGACTTTGATATATTTAAAATCTTTCTCCTATTCAAGAACCCAAGTTTGTGGCCCTGCATCTTCAATCTGTATCAAATGTATACACATGACTAAATATATATGTACCGGGATATCAAAACTTGCACCTTATTTTTTTCTTCAGAAATCAAGGTTTTAACACAAATTTACAGTTGACCTATATTGAACATGAAAACAAGAAAATGTAGATAGTGAAAGACCCTTTTTGTACCCTTTTGAGAAAGCTTTATAAATGCTCAACAATTATTTAATATTTAGTGGTCCACACAATCAATCTACTGCAATGATTAAGTTCATTCAGAATTACAAACTGTACGTAAAGGAAGTGTCTCTTGATCTGTGATCCATGACCAGAACTCAACACCAGCTTTAATTACCAAGTACACATACATACATGGATTTGTCTTTTATTTTCTCACCATTTAGGGTACCTACATGTCCTTGGCATAGTACAATACTGTAGAATCAATACTTTTTTATTTATTGAGTAGTCGAGGAGAAAAGAGTACAGGTTTCTGTTCTAGCTAGCAGCAGTAGATGCTAACACATAATTCAAGCCCTTATTCACTGCTAGAACCTGGTATCAGTTTCACCGCGTCATTATATAGGGAGATGTTTATCAGTGCATAAACCGTCTGTTCAGAGCCAAAAGGATGTTAACTCTGTGTTGAAATATATATGGGATAACGCCCTTCTGGCTCCAAACAGACAATAAACATGAGATTGATTACTGCTATTCATTCAGAGCCCATAAATGAAGCTCAACTGCTGGGGTTTGTTAAGATTGTGTAGATGAGTTTGGGTTTTCATACAATGACTCCTTTGTTGAAATTGATCCGCTGAATACAAAGCTTGATTATAGCTCAAGCTGAGGTGCGCTGTAAGTACTACATGCTACATCAATATCAGATTGTATCCAACAAGTCAATGCATAAACCACTCATGTGTTGAGCTAGATGTATCATTTCATGATATAATTGTAGAAATGGTTCACTCACTTCGCTTTCAATGCTTTGTCACAAACATGTTTACATCACACAACATATCATAAGACCGTACATTAAAATAAGTTGCCAGCCTTTGTGTGGTAACAATAATGAGTTCTCATCTACTCCTGCTAAATAAAGTAAGCTATCAAAGAGTATTCAAAACAAGATTAAACAACACTTTTGCTATTTATCACTTACTTAAAGGGATTGGGTATCTTTGCCTCAGATTCTTATAACAAATTTCTGGATTTAGCTCATGCTGCAATCATAATTGTAACCTTTCAGTCAGTCAGTCAGTCAGGAATCCCATGACTTTTACAAGCCGATAGCCTGTCTGATTATCAAGATATTTGTGATTGGAAATCGATTGGGGAAAATGAGTATGGTAAAACCAGTCACTCAAAGATTTTTTACTCTTTTGAGGCACTTCATGATCATTTTGAAGCGCAACTTGTTTAGGGCTTCAATATTACACCATATCACAGACACTGATAACACGTAGTGCCCTGCATCTCAGATATAACATTGTTAAACGATGGCTTTAATATATCAGACATATGCAATACTTGCACACTTACACCTTTAAACCAGTTGCAAGCCTACATGTAGCTGCGATAGATAATGAGTTCTCATCTACCCCTGCAAGTAAGACGAGCCAGCCTAGCCACGACGGTGGCTACGACCGTGATCAAACACGAGCCAAGGTATTTACCACCTTTGTCATCCCATTACAAACATGACATCTGGTAAAAGTCTCGTTGGGGTGCACACGGTGGGGGAAAAGAGATCTACTGGTATCCTCTTATGAAGATTGTTGAGGTGATAAATAGGTTTGAAGCCACATGTATGCTGGGAGCATGATGTACGTATGGCAGGTACAAAGTTACGTGTCACTTTCATGTGTATGTTGGTTTAAAATCTATATACAAGCTATGTCAAATCTGCAAGAGAATGTACAATTTTAAAACAAGGGTTGTTGGAACCGCATGATGCCCAAAACACTTTTTACTTGACCACTGAATATTTTTCTGAACTAAATGTTGAACACCTTAAACATGTATTTGCAAGCTTATCCCCCCCCCCCCCCTCCCTCCCTTCAAGAAAAGGGGGGAGGGGGGATGCATTAATTACCTTTCTAAATTAAATCATTATGTATGCTCTTCCAAGGGGTCAACACTGGCCAAAGTACTCATTTTGATCTCCCCTCGTCTTTCAACTGTACAAAATAATTTGCATAATGTTCTTTTAAGCAAGTACCGAATGGGTTTTAATAGTCTACCGCCATTGTAATCAAACACCCTGCATATCTTGGCTGTGCTGGTAGTGGGTTCCAAGATAAGGTTACATGACTAGTAGGCAATAAGGCTTCCTGCAGTAGTCTAATTACCAAACCTGTTTCACAAGCTTTAAAGGTAGTCTTGAATTCTTACTGCTATGGTGATGATGGAAAATATTGTTTCACAAAGTGCAGTAATTTAGAAAATATTCATGATTACCAATACTTGACATACATCCTATAATTTTAATAGAATATGCATAATTTAACAAAGATAAAAGCAAAACAACTTTAGAGAATTTGGGACAGTCGAGTCAACCAATAGATGTACATGTACATATATGCAAAGTCTTATATTGTCCAAACATTGCTTTATAATTAGTGCTTTGGTGGTCTGATAACGTTTACTGCATGCTTCACCATATCAATAACTTTCAGCTAGTTTTTTTTAATATTGTTCATAAGAACTTGTGAATATCTTTATAAAAGACATTTGAGTATAATCAGCACAACAGAAATAGAGTAGTTGAAATAAATGTTTTCAAAGGGCCTGATTTAGTAGACTACCTATGAGTTGCTGGTATGAAACTTGTAGGTTAGGTTGGTAATAGTATCGCTGAGTGTTCGTCTTGCTTAGATGTAGACGTAGACATTCATGAAAAGGCCAAACGATTGTAATGGCAAGGCGCTGCTATTGGTATCACTGCACATAGCTTCAAGGTCGATACAATGTATGTACATGTACATGGTACTAACAGCTACATGTGCAACATTACAGTATACCAATATTTGTGTCAATCGAAACTAAGGCAGAATCCTAGGTGTGTTATGAAGGCAGTAGCCACAAACTAAGATAAATTTCTAAATTGAAATACATGTACACACTGTACATAAAAATGTTTAGTTAGGCATTGATCAATAACACAACTAAAGGGCAGATGCTCAATTCAATAGCAATGGCACTCTGCAGCTGCCCCCCCCCCCACCCTTTCCCCTTTCCCCACATGCTGATTTTCCCTCATACCTTACACGTACCTGTATGTACATGTATAGTAGGTAAATGAATGTCTTGTAACATAAATACATTGGTGCCTCAGAAGGATCCAGTAATTCATTTGAAGAATATCCAAACAGAATTAGCAAATTCAATTGAAATTTACTTAAATTTGAAAGTCATCTTTCATGAGTGTAAACTGTATCCCTTTTTTTTTAGACACTCGAGGTAATTATTAAGAAAGGCAATTTTCTGTAATTTATAGTTCTTAAAAATATGCAGTTTTCTTAAGTTGGGTCATACCTAATCTGAATGTACATTAGTAACACCATAAATTTACACTTGCTAATAAGTATGGCTTGGATTTTTTTCTCCCCAAAGACTACCGGTAGTATGAATTTGCTAAAATTGCATGATCTGATAAACTTTCTTGTCAAACTGGACATAAATGTAGCATATGAGAATTTTCTTTTCCCCAATAACGATACAAGGGTTGATTTATGCTGCATTCAAATTATTTTTGAGGGAAAATCAATTGATTGTTAGACGATCCCAGCATCCTCTAATATGGATTATGGAAGTAATCAAAAGTTAAGTGAATCTCTGACTCATTCTGTAATTCTTCCCTTTTTTCATTACCATGGGCTGTGAATTCAGACAAAAAGAATACTACTAATACTTTTTGAGTGATTAATGTGCTACAATGTACATGTATCAATGTCGGTAAATGTGATTACATTATATACACGATGCATAATAAAAATAAGAATGGAATTCAAATGGAATTGAAAGAAAGAAATACAAAATTACATGGAAGACACAACAAAAAATATGAAACAAGACTCTTAATCTAGAAAAGGTAATCTACACACAAAAACGATATTGAATGCAAACGGTTTACTGTACATGTAGTTACTCAATACACTTCATTGCTATTTCTAAATCACACCAACACACATTTCTCTACTGAAAATCGACTAAATGAATCCACGCCGATTTACAACATATTACAATGTCTCTTACACAACAGATTAAAAAAGTTCAAAAGCACCATGGTTTTAAACATTTAAGAGAATACAAAAGCATTTTCTTGACAGAACTAATATCGAGAAATTATCAGCATGATTAGAAGGCACAAATTTATGTTAGAAAGGAAGACTTTTAAATTTTAATTTTCTCACATGATCAGATATACCTATTAAGCTTGAAAAATTCATTATGTTTTATAAAAATATAACTCTCTAGGAGGAAACACTGTACTCTTGTTCACTTACTCAAACACAACTGTCGCATAAATCATTGTTGTTTGAAATCCGACTTAGGTAAATCTTTTTTCTATTGCTGGACTGTTCTTCTTTGTAGGATAAACTATGGAGATCAGGGCTGGTAGGCCATTTTTCCACGTTAAAAGAAAGCTATTCAAATCAATCACATAAATTCATCTCTCTCCAAAATATAATTCCATCAGCAATTTGAGTCAACATACATCTTAATAACCAATACTGATGGAGAATTGACGAAATCATTGGCAAAATAATTCATCTTATCTTTGGCATGCACTTAAATATGGACATATTAACTTTACCTTATCATTCTGTTTTCTTTAAACCCTACATAATCCTATATCTATAAATACTTGTGTCAAGACACACAACGTTTCCACTATATATTTTACATACGCTGTACATTTTTTGTAATACTTCATTGCTTTTAAGAAGTCCTCTGACACTTTCTTCAGCTTCCTCTTCCTCACATTCGTTAGACTAGCAAACTAAACGCTAATTCCAGGTCCACCATATCTTCTCCAAAATGGGATATCCAGGAGAGAAATAGTCTTCATGAAGTATTTTCTTGTTTTGCCATTTGAAAGGGACATGGTAGTGTTAAATGTAAGTTCTACTTCAAATATCCACTACCACAGAAAATAACTGATGCATTTTCTTATTTAAACAAACAGAAATACAAAAACTGTGGAAGACATAGCATAAGAAATGTAAGGCAAATTTTACAGGAAGATGGTTCTCTTGGGATCTGTACATTTTGTTTTAAGCATCAGGAATTTTACAGAAAGTGGAACACAATCAATTGAGTTCTGGCCATTCCATGAAGTGACGCGACACATGCCGACGCCAGTCTTCTTGGCCGATCAATTCTTTATCACAATACTCACAGGTGAAGAGCTTGTTCATGGGGTTCTCCACCACGATGCCTTCCATAGATTCCATGTCCTCTAAGGAGAGTTTAGTCTCAGCTTCATTGATATCCTGCTGGGATGCCCCGTCATGAAAGGAAGGAGTGGCAATGTCGGGAAGAGAAGGAGCATACTTGTCGGAGAGGGTTGGAGTTGGCGGAAGCTCGACCGACATTTCAGGCATGGTCTGCATGGCAGTCGAGACGGTGCGAGTGGCATCGGCAGGTGTTGGAGAATTCTGCTTCCTGATGGCCTTGGGTTTTTTGGTGAATTCCATGTAGTCATAGTCATCATCATCGTCATCATCATCGTCATAGTCGTTCACATCGACCATCAAGTCCTCGGGTTCGGCCCCAGGGACAGGACTTGCTTTAGGCTCCTTGGAAGGCAAGGTGGTTGGTGGATGGATGGAAAGGCTTTCATTCTCTGGTTTCCTACCAGACTCCGGATCATCATGAACTTCATTCTTTTTGGTGTTGCGCAGGCGATTTTTTGCACCCTGTCTGGAACGCATAGACGGAATGTTACCCTTGGGGACACGATTCTCGGCGGTGATGCCCAGAGTCTCAGTATGCGTTAGAATGTGGGTATCGAAGATGTGCTTGAAAGGAGACTCGTAACAACAATGAGTGCACTTGTAGGAGGCTTGCTGGGTATGAATACTCCTATGGTGATTGAAATCATCTTCAACGGTAGTCTTGTAGCTGCAGAACTTGCAAGAAAAGGACTTGACATCCTCATGCAGGGCAATGTGGCGTTTGATAGAGAATGCCTGGCTGGAAGAGAAAGAGCAGTAAGGACACTTGAGGGGGCGCTGCCCATAGTGCATCTGGAGATGCTCACGTAGGGACTTGGGCACCGTGGATGCAAAAGGGCACTTTGGACACTTGAAGGGCTTCTCCTTGGTATGGGTGCGGATGTGGACATTCAGGTGACCTTTCTGGCTGGAAGAGTAGTCACACAGATCGCACTTGTAGGGCTTGGCTCCCGTGTGGACGGCAAGATGCTGTATGAGGTTGTGCTTGCGCTTGGTCACGTAATCACACTGGTTGCATGAGAACAGCTGCATTTTTTCCTCCTCACTCTTCATCTGTTCCTTGAGCGAAGCCAGCTGTTCCGAGATGTAGTTGCCATCCCCCTCATCCTGCTCCTCCTCATCGGCATGCACCCTCATGTGCACCCGAAGGTGGGACGGCTGGGTCGTCGAGTAGTCGCATTTGACGCAGATATACGGCTTCTGCTCCTCATGCATCTGCATGTGGACCACCACGTGACCTCGCTGCCGGGCACGGTATCCGCAGATCTTACAACGGAATGGCTTCTCACCTGTGTGGATGAGGGTGTGACTGGCCACGGCGCTGTAGTAAGGAGAGCAGAAGACGCAGTAAGGGCACTCGTACTGGCCAGTCTTGGAGTTGCGCTTCATGGTCTGCAGCTTCTTAGAGGTAGACAGCTTTTCAAACCCTCGCCCTGAATCTTTGACAGTGACGTCATCGACATCATCTACGTCTAAGTCATCCATCTCAATCTGTTACAGAACATACACAGAAACAAATGTTAAGTCTTTTAAAATTTGTGTCACTGTGACAAAACATGTGGTTACTGATATGGTTCCCAGTCTATATCTTTCTGCTTTGTGGTGCTAGCTCTGATTATCAACCAATAAATTGCAACAAAATCAATGTACTCAAATTCATACTCAATTCATTTGAATAAGGAATAAAATCAAAATCCATGTTCATATATTCATCTGTCTAATAGTAAATGCTTATTTTTAAAAATCCAAGCAACAAATTATAAGCAGTCGTAGGCTGTAATACATGTAGAAATAACTACATGTAACTACAAAACAGGATCAGTAAATGATAATGAAAAAAGGGTCCTCAACACAAACACACACACCAAATTAAGGTTACTCAAAAGAAGAAAAACTAATGAGACAGAATTACAATTAAGTGATGTAAAAACTTGGTAAACTTTGGAACTCGTACAAAGAACAAAAAACAATACAAAACAAAAAAGACAATGATTTACGATTTTAGTGCATAGTATTTGTGGGTGTTGGTGATCTTTTTAAACAAAATTATGGGAGGAAATCTTTGACCTGGAGCTGCGTCATCCACGATCACATCATCCATCTGCATGTACAGTGTACCTACCTCTTCAATCTGATTCATAAGGTCCTCAGACAGCTCCAGAGCGTCCATTTCTGCCTCGGTGCAGGTGAAGGCATCCATATCAGGTTCCATGATGAAGTCGGGGTCTTCCAGCGAGGTTAGCACCTTCTTGAGCTTGCCGCTGCGTACCTTACGCTTGTCAGTGCAGCCCATCTTGATCCTGAGCACGTTCTTGGGAGGTCGACGGGTCAGTTTATCCACGGCATTGCTGTTGCCGGTTTTCACCTTGGGCTTGGCCATGGTGATGGCTTTGGAAGACTGGGATAAGTGTGACGTGGAAGGGAGCCAATAGCCTGGAAGAAGAAGAAGAAATATGTTCGAAATGTAAAAATTTATTTATAAAGTCAGGTCAACAAATGGTCTGTTGAGAACCGGGAGAGCATACTCCCAATACTTTTGCTTTTACACAGACTTCATGCCTTTCTGGCTCCGAAAACATGATATACTTCACAAGCAATCGCAAAGAAGAAAAAGTAAACTGAATTTCTATGACAGGATATGAGGAATTTCTCTCCACCCAAGAGAATTTAGAAATGATTGAAGAAAGAAAAAAAAATGCCTATAAATTGCTCACTTTTTCATGACTTCAGAAAATTTTCATTCTTTTTATAATTTTCTCTGATTTTCAAAATGTTGTTTCTTTCAAATGAATGAATGATTCCATCCAATCTACATTCCATTTTACATCTTACTATATGCATTCATGCCAATTTCATTTTTTAAATAGACCAAATCAATTAACATTCAATCTCTAATCGATGTGATATCATAGTCTTCATAGATATTCAAAAATATGTCCATTGAACTAAAGAAGCAATTACAAATTGATAAAGAGACATTTTAAAATTTTGTTTTTTATCTAAAATGCTAGGAATTACAGAAGAAACACAAGCAGAAAAGGCATCAATATCATAAAATCTTAGTAAATTTCTTATGCAGTACATTGTGCCGTTCATGCATTAGAACAATTAAGTTGTAAAAATCACTTAACTCTCTAAATTGGCAAAACAGTGTGACGATTTATAATTGTTATTTTCATGTAAATTTTTTGTTAAATGAGTTAAATTTTATTTAAACCTATAGATGTTCATTTATTAGTATATACTTTACTTTTATCACTTCAAACTATGTAGGGACAGTAGGGGAAAATAATCATAACTGATACCAATTTGAAAGGAAAAACAGATTTATTTAGACCTTAAGAAAACACTGAAGGGGCATGGGTTAATGGTGGAGATGACCATACAGCAGACCATAGGAACTGTTAATGTATACACTGACATCTACTAGGGAAGTATGCATACGTACATCACATACTGGGAACTCAAGCCAGACCAGGAAGTGAATAATGACTATAACGACCTTTCTCCCTCTAACTTCCTGCTATATGGGGAATCGGTATTGCTCACACGTACACAAAGGGTAAGGGTATGTCAAGTGGTGGAGAAGCACTTTTGTTTTCACGTGGCCTGATGCCATGTTAACATCTACTCCTGAATACATGTTGCATATGATAGCTTGTTTACACATGCTGTAGGTAAATCTATTTCTTCATGTGTCAGTGAATGGCAAGCTACATGTAAATGGTGGACTTCAGTAGTAACCAATCATTCAATGGATGCAGACCAACAACTAACACCAACAGTTCTTTGCAGGACTACACTCCCTCAAGAAAGGTTACAGAGAGTACTTTTCAGGACTCCTCAATCCTCCCTCTCTCTCACATGGTGCATCTGCAAACCTACTGTATAACAACTAACATATTTTAAACAATGTATCAATTCATAGCATTCAGTGATAAAGATAATATTCAGTCCTGGATTCATTGCTTTCTCTTTGTTATCAAATGTTTCAAGTTATTGAAATGGCCCCGGCTACGAGGTGGCCGCCTACCGCCCCGCCCTAGTCAAATTTCACAGAAGAACAAAGTCTAAACGAAGAAATAAAAGTTTTCAACAGAAGTCAAGTGATGAAGTGGATAGTACGTTTATTACAATTAAATAAATATAATCATGAATCAAAAAAATCCACCTCTATGGGCGCCCAGCCTACGAACTCTGCTAAAACTTTAGCACCTCGTGTCGGGAAAAGAAAAGGGAGTATGAATAAAAATGAAGAAGTCGCTCCAAAAAAGTCAAAGCTCACCCCAATTCAGAAGAGCCTCTGCTTCCCATTTTATACCCTCCGGACACATGTTGCCCCTTGAAAGGGCGTGTCACTACGAGGCATTGCGTCAAGTTAATCCCCGGCGCCATACACACCCATGATAAAAGGTACTTTATTAATTATGGGAAATTAACTTCCAGAGTTGAGCTCTCTGACCCATCATTACTTTTGGGCCTTGAAACTTACTGTACATAACTCTCACATCTGTGCTCTTTCAATAAACTCTTTCACTCGACATCTCTCGTAACTCTGAAGAACAAATAATCCTGGAGGCAAGATAAATTCAAATATTATTTGAATGAAAGTCAGAGCAAGCAACGCCAAATGGACTGTCTGCCCTCTCCAAACATGTATAAATATTTCCTCGCACATAAACATTTAGAGGGTACGGGCAGTCACATAGTAACGATAAACTCTAACGACAAGCTATGCCCCCCACCCCCACCCCCCCCCAAAAAAAAAATTGTTAACTCCATTTCAGTCTTGTTTTGAACTCTTGTTACTCTTGTTTTTTTCATAAACTCTTCTGATGATATTGTTTATTTTTATTTAACCTCCAAACAAAACAGAAAACAGTGGAATTTTTCAATGCTCTTTATCCTGTTTGAGTTGGCTTAGATCTATATATTATATTGAATGCTCATAAACATTTTTGGTTAATGTTTTGACTAGCAGACTGTAAACGCTGTTATTTTCGCCTGATTAATTTTTTGAGCTGAGTGACCCCAAAATATATTCCCTGGTTCTTAAATTTGCATTGCACACAATTCAGCCCGTTCAAAACATGCATAAGAAGTCATGCTTATATTTTTGTGAGTTCTAAAATTCGCGCTTGCAGATTTTAGCGCTACTGTAAATCCGTGATTATTAATGTACCGCAAATATTTCTATGTTTACAGCTCTGTCCGGCTGCTTTAAAAAAAAATATCAATAAATAAATAAACCTAAACAATTTTTGAGGAAAAAAATGAAAAAGCCCCCTCCCCCTTCCAAGCCTATGCTTTCCTCAGTGAAGCCATACTGTCTCAGCAGAACATATCCCCAAATGAAATAAACAGATTTTTTTCAGTCTAACTCTTACGAGTCTAACGTTAGAGTAGACTAGACCTTTTTTTCTAGATCTACACTAATAATTAATTTGATCATCAACAAGAGTTATTCACATCCCCTTCCTTAAAAACACATCTTGTTACTATGTTAGTAGAGCACAAATTGCATGAGACTTGAGAGCACAAGCACAATAGGAGAGCACTCTAAAAATAATACCCCTTCCCCACACAGTAAAACCAAGATTACTTGAGAAGTCCGCTCGGCATCCTCCCTCTCAACAACATTCACAACGGGATATGCAAATCTCGCACCCCTGGCCTAGCCCGAAATTCTACGTAAATATTCACAGGTCAACAGGTTGTTCTCCGCAATGGCCTCTTCAGCCTACTACGTCACGAATCGTCTCACATCTATACAAGATTTCAACATTCAAGATTGGACAAATCCCTCAAAACTACGTAAATGAACATTTTAAGTACTATGGAGTCAACAGTGTGGATTTATAGAACATTTATGACAAATATCTTTCAATTTTGTTGCAGCCATGTGTCAGAAAAGAGTGTAAAAGTTGATACTTTGCAAAAGTTTGAGACGAAAACTTTGCAGTCTACTCACGATATCAACCTACTACGGGAACAGCACATAGCATGTACAACACACACACATGCAATTATGCCAACACATACACACTCTCACAACACACAGGCTGGCCGCGTGCTCGCGAACGAGAAAACTTTGTATCTCAGAGTTAACAAACTAACATTTTAAACCAAACCAACAGTTCACAGAACATTGTAACAGTAAAATGTCACTAGCTATGATCATCAACACCAATACATTCACAATGACTAACACAGTCTGACCCTAGAAAGTTGAAAAAATACGGTTTTTACCTGGAGGTACAGAAGTCTTCGTGAGGCTTTCGTCAGGTGTCTGTACATCAGTCGCTTGCATTGGCGCGCGGATTTGGCCGGCGATCGCGAGCTCGAGCGTCCGTACAGTACATTCACATTGGACGAGTGTATTGTGTGTATTATTTCAATTGGGACTTTCGACACGTAAAGCCTATGCGATTCGCACCGCACACAACATTCCTATACACAACGTTGACAAGATTATCATCTGATGATCTGACTTCTGAGTGTCCTACTCAAATGTCTGTTTCCAAGGAAAGATCTGCTGGGGAAAAGTATAATAGAAGAGGAACTTCAAATGATTCTAGGGTTGGTTATCTTCATTTTCCAAACGAAATCAGCGATTAATATGCAAGATAGCAAAACTGATTGATAACTGGATTATTTTTCTAATCATTACCCTGACGATATGGGAAATGACTTCATATCGGGTTTGGGATAATACATGTCTATTTAAAATTATTAAAGTTGCAATTTTCGTAAAATTAAACAAAATTCTCCAAACAATCTAGGGCATGATTTAGTCAGTATGATCACGAAAGACACGAAATGTTGTCCAGTTATGACTAGGTGAATGTCCATCATGACTGCGTGAACAGAATGTACACCTTCTCTCCCTTTCTCCGTCGCTATCCGTCTCAGTCTCTTTCTGTCTCTCTTCTCTCTAAATCAATTAATCTATCTATCTACCTATCTATATATCTACTTGTCTGCTGCCTGCCTACCTACCTACCTAAGCCTACTAGCTACCTACCCCCTGCCTATTTATGTATCTCTAATAGAAACGAATATTTATCTACTTACCTACCTACCTATCAACATAACTATCTATCTATCTAAAAAACTAGAATTGAAACCGGTCATATTGAAGAAGTGAACTCTCAAGGATTGTTATTTCAATTGTTTTAATTATTATTTATATATGAACGTGACAATTAAAGGATTATCCAAATTGAATTATTTGATATAATATCTATCTATCTCTTTCTACTTCATGCCGTTATTTGCAGGGGCGGATCATCAGGGGCGTGGGGCGCAAGCCCCCTTTTTACTTCCGAAAAAGGGCCCTAAGAAATATTCACATAAAATTAATGTTCAGTTCATGCCTCAGAATGTACCATAGATCATCTTAAGGTTCACCATTTTTCTCGCAATTTCGTACATTTCACGCCCCCCTTTTGGAAAATCCTGGATCCGCCCCTGATTTGTACTCCTCTTGCTATTCTCTCCAACTCCTCGTCCTTCGAATTCCAATTCTTTTGTTTCCTTCCTGTTCTCTATATTTACCATCTTTTTACTTAAACAAAAAGCACTCGAATATTTCATATCATTTTTTATTCACAACTTTTTTCTTCGTAACCCACATTTTACAAGGTTTTAAGGAGCAGCTTGCATTAGAGTGTTTTTTCACTTATAGATGAAATACGAAGCAGAAATAAGATAAAAGGCTTTCATGGACATTTGTGACCGTTGAAAATGTTTTAATAAGTATCTTGTCAATAGTCAGTATATTTTTGTAGTATTTTGGGCTGTATAATTATGATAGGAGGGGGTCACGGGCCCGTACGCTTAACAAAAAATGAAGCCTTTCTTTTGCATTCGAATTTTAGGAAAATTTAGCATTAAATATTACTAATCATGATAAATATTTGTCCTCTATAATATTTTCCATGAAATATCTTTAAACATTTATGAATTTTTGCATGTAAACTTTCTCAAAGTAATGTTTTAAATTCAACTGTCTGGATATACAACCTGTCCGGCCACAAAACGTCTGGGTATACTGTATTTGTGTTTCTTTATGGAAAGGGAATGGATAAAGCATCACTTCTTGTATGAAAAAAATGTGATGGCTATTATTTTCTATTAGCATAATCATTATTGACAATTAGAAATCAAATGCAGATGTGAACGTACCGTTGATTGCCTGTAACAATGGCGTATACTGGATTTGACGGGGTGGGCGGGGCACAACCAACCCGTGCCCTTGCTTTTAAAACCCAGACTGATTTGCCTTTATAATGTACACAGAATGTTCTCTTTGCCCCCTTTTGGTAATACTATATATTACTTATAAAAATGGTATCAATTAACAAGAGTTATTAGACCGGAAGGCTAACAACATGGGTCGTCAAAGCCTTTTCCAGAGTTATGTGCCCCCTCTTTTAAACAAAATGATCACTTGTTATGTTATCAAGTAGTTTTAAGTTGTGAACGTAGGCCTATCTGAAATCGTGTTATAGCCGTTTCGTCTACAATCAGTTCGTCTACTGCCCGAATCGGTCTATTCCCATATGGTCTTCGGACAGCCCGTCTACTATCCATATATATAATAATCATTTCGTCTACGTAACATTTGTTCTCTTATCATTTAGGTTAAAATTCATTTGGTCTAATTTCCATTCGGTCTAATCTCCAATAAGTCTACTAATCATTTGGTTTATCGCTCATTTAGTCTGATTTCCAGTTGGTCTAATTCATGGTTTGTCTAATGCCCATTTCGTCTGCTATCAATTAACAATTTAATCATGAATAATAATAATAATCATCAAATGTTTATTAAACCTCATGGATGGAAAACGAAATGTGAATTGGACGAACTGCAGGGGAGAGGGTGGGGCGGTCCGGAATCATAAATGGTGAATACATGCAATATAATAATAATAATAATAATAATAATAATAATAATAATAATAATAATAATAATAATAATAATAATAATAATAATAATAATAATAATAATCTTTTAAAGTCCTCTCCAAATTATTATTAAGTCAAACTGAAAATGGAAATTATGAGGGAAGGATGAAAAACACTTACTGACATGATTCCTCTTGGCCCTTTTTCTTCTCCTAATAGAGGTCATCTCCGGCTGGCTGTCTATAAATATATTGAATAATCAGCTTTACTAAAGATAACCACCAGTTACTCAAACACGTCAAGGATCACTGTTGACCTAAAGTATCCCTTGTCCAAATTTATTATTTCATTAAATTATCATTTCTTTCGTTGTTTTCTATTATATACGCATAACAATAGCGGGTCCAGCAAACACGATAACGTTTGCTTGTGGTCAGTATCTCGAGAGAAAAAATAGAGCAACCCCACTTACACTGAAAATCTTTCTCAAAGCAACGTTCTTGAATTGACCCGACCGGCAAACTAGGAAATCATTGTTTCTGGAAGGTGTCATTCATATTGTGAAATACTCATTCACTACATGGAAATCCAATCCTTGTAATAAGTTCATTTGCGTGCAAGTAGATGATTATTAATGGCAAAAGTTTGAAATAAATCGAACCAATAATTAGAAAGAAATCAACGTTTAAAGTATGAGATCACAAATATGCGAATCTCAAATTGGCAGTTTGGTCAGTAGATTTTGACGTAGTTGCGGACAAAAATTACTCTCCCATATTTTGTCGCGTGTACAAAGATATCATTGATTTCTGTTTTTTCTCCTAAGTGCCTCCTCCCTACTCAAAATATAGTATGTATACCATATTACTATAGGTCTTCTCTAGATACTAAGACCCTCCTGAGTCATACATCTAAAATAAAATGAAATTGTAGTCATTTTGTGCATGTGTTAAATGCCGGGAAAGTTGTCAACTTCACCAACAGAGATATTCAGCCCATAACTATATTGATATATTATAACTTTCAAACATTTATAACTTTCTCATCATTTATCAGATTTCATTCAAACCGTTTCACCAATCTACATCTCTGATTTTTTTTTCTTTTTCTCTAGAGTTTGCTATCAAGGTTGGATTTCCCTTTAAAATCATTCAATGAAGTGTAATCCTCTATGATGCACGATTATCCATTGTAAACGAATCACAATCGTAACTTAGGACCCATTGAGCGCTTCACAGGCGCGTACGCAGGATTTTTTCAAGGGGGGGGTTTAAGATTTATAAATCGGGCCGAAAATTTCGCAACGACTCAGCCAGCCGCTGAATAAGCGGGGGGGGGGGGGGGGGGGGGGGGTAAAAGGTCACTTTTTGATGAGCGGGGGGAGGGGGGGGGGGATAAGAGGACACTTTTTTTTTTTGGTGTCGAAATTTGAAATTTTGACATCTTGCTCCGTTGGGGGGGGGGGGGTAAGGTCAGCTTTTTTAGGTCAGCCATGGGATTTTTTTTTTTTTTTTTTTTTTTTTTATAAAAAACAAAAAACAAAAAACAAAAACAAATCCAAATCCCCCCCCCCCCCCCCCCCCCCCCCCCCGTGTACGCGCCTGGCGCTTCATATAATGATCAGTCGACAGACATCAACTAAATCACACTCTTTCAGTTTCGTTTATGACAATGAATGTAGGCCTCGCAACTGATTTAGAATTTACTTGGATGTCCTTTTAACCCAGGTCGGAAAAAACAGTTAGATACCAGTGGAACCATTGCAACTGGTACTGGTACCAGTTGATTCCAATTAGTTAATTGGTTTCAATATGGATTTTGGAATACTGGAATCAACTGGTAACCAATTTATTCCAGTTGGACTACCAGTTGTCAACTGGTAGGGCCTACCAGTTAGGGCCAGTTGAAACCACGAGCCTGTGAATTCCAGTTAAGTGAACTGGTTTCAATATGGAAATTGTATAATAGTGGAATCAACTACAGGGCCTAAATTTTTGACACCATGCAGTTTAGCAATATGTGAAAAATCATGGGTTGAGCGCCTTAATCATGTAAATATATAGTTCCTATGTAGTATGTAGGCTACTCTAGAATGCATTAAAATATGCATGTGGAAACCAATCGTACTTGACGAAATTTTTGATAAAATTAATCTATATTTCTTATTTTCCTTTTCGTTACCTCGTTTTCACCTCTCTATAGTGGAGAGGGCAATATGCTCCGCTCCGTACCCCGCCCCCGTCCAGTCACACGCCAAATTGTATAAATATTTCAGCGCCATGAAAATCTATTTATCCTTTTAAAAAAAATCAAAGATAGTCTATACTACTTTGAAAAAAATACAGCTCAAATTAGTAGTAAAAGTTCCACATCTAGATCTTGATTATTATCAATAATAGCGAATGTGACCTTGAAGAACAGTGTCCTACTTTCTTCGTGTTATTATTTACCTTTTGCGTGCATTTATAAAAAGGTCGTTTCCGAAAAGTTCGAATCGGATTACATCAACGGCAGGCACATCTTAACCCGACCTACATTTCACATTCATCATCAGCTATTTTGTTTACATTGAGCATGCACTACCGGTATCGCATCGACATCACATTCAAAGTGTCACGCTGTAGGCTAGATTAATTGCGTTGGATGCGTGATGATGCACGAGGAAAGATCTTTATAAGATGGCAGAACCCGAAGGAGAGCCACTCGAAAATCATAATTCCGACAATTCTCTACCTCTGGGATATTTCTTTCATTGTTTGTCGTTATTGATCGAGATGATAGTCTTATTTTGTCGCATGTTGTACCATGTTTTATGCAGCTTGTACCGCTTCGTCTTTCCAGCCAGTCCCAAGTATGTGTATGGGCGTACTGTTTTGATCACAGGCTCAGCCAACGGACTCGGGAGGCTGCTGGCCCAGGAGTTCGCCAGGAGAGGTGCCCAGCTTGTTCTGCTTGATATAGATATTGAAGGAAACAAATTATTGGCAGAGGAACTGTGTAGCAAGGGGAGAAGTGCTCATGCGTACTACTGCGATTTGAGTCGAAAAACAGACTTGTATTCCGTTATCGCGCAAATTAAACGGGATATTGGACATGTCGATATTTTGATAAATAATGCCGCTACTCTGAGTGGAAAACCAGTGCTACAGTGTTCAGATAGTGCCATAGAGAAGGTCTTTGAAGTGAATACCATGGCGTATATTTGGGTACAACATTTTTACCTTTGTTTCTTTGTTTAAATTTACTGTTGTGTATTTTTTGATAATTGTAGTTTTGCTTAAGATGCATCTTGGCTGTAAACGTTTGAAACTGAACAATTGGTATTTTAGATAAACCACCAAAAAGAGCATTAAACTTTAAAGCTTCATGACATGACAGCACTGAGTGTGCATTGAGTTTTAAAAAAAGAAAGACAAAAACTTATAGACCAGTATTGTTTATGGAGTCTACAAAAAGATAAAAACCTGTCGATCTTGTTTGACATTAAATATCTCAAATTGTTTCATATGAATCTAGTCTAATTCTTCTCATGAATCTCAAAATTTGACAATCAACAAAATTAATAAGCGCATGGCTGTAGAGAATGATACTGGTAGGTAGGCCTACACCTAGAGGTTGTGTGTCGGGACAGGTTGTATCTGATTGGTTGATATAAAACAGTAATTTGAAGAAGTTTACATAAAATATTTCATGAATCTTTTACGACTTGTATTAGATAAAATTATAAAGTACAAATATTAAAGATTTTGCTATTTGATGCATATTTTGTTAAATCCCAAGGCTAAAGTGGTGACTTTACTTTTGTTAAGCATTTGGCCCCCCCCCCCCCCCCCCTCCACATCATACCATTTATTATTTTTAATGACAAAGACAAAGTGAGATTTGATTATGCCCAATGAATTTTGTACAAGTTGGGGAATTTGTTTGGAGTTAGACTTGACTCTGATCATTTATTATGCAATGTGTACATCACAATCAGGATTAGTCTTTAAGACATAAAAACAAAATGTTTGAATTATGAATGTGTGTTTATTAGATACTAGTGTGCTAGCAATCTGACAATTTTTAATTTGTTAAAAGTTTCCTACAAATTACAAGTCGATAATACTAGGAGTAGGATTACATGTTACTAGAGTATTTCTAGTTGTAGAGATATCAATCTATAATCTCAGCTTAGCTTACTGAATGATTCATTCCCTCCATTCAAAGTAGGACCACACCCTTTTAGTTTTAGGATATACATGTGTATAGAAAAATACAGATGTCTCGTTAATATGACAAAAAGATCTGATACTCTGTATCAGATCATGAATTCTTGGTGCGGATAAAAGTGATAGGGCCAAATAACAAAAATAATGTGTTTCTCGTCCAGATTTTTTTTTAAAGGAGGAGGCAGGGCATTACATGTACTCTTTACTATTTTGCTAATTTTAACTATTTTTTTAAAAGATGGCTTCCATGCTAATTATACCTGGCCAAGCCTTTTTATTCACAGAGACACAGATATTGTGCTGTGTGAGTATACTAATGCAATGTATGATTGACAAAACAAATGATTTGTATCACTTTAGAAGCTATATGAAAAAAATGTATATCGCAGGCTTTTTTGTTTGTTTTTTCATTTGCTTTTTTTCTTCTGAATAGTAAATAGTAACAAAAAGGAGGCGGGCGGGGACGAAAAACACTTCATTTTTGTTATTTGGCCTAAATAGAGATGAACAGCTTTAAAAAAATATTATTTAATTGGACTTTAACATAAATAGAAAAATCAAATTCACTAAACCTTAATCTTCTCCATTCAAACAGTCTTAAAAAAGAGCCTAGATTTAATTAAAGTTATAATAACCAAGCAACCAAATTAAAGGGAATTGATTGTTTTATAAAATCTCAATTGAATGCCAGCCAATATACCTTTTCAATGTGAATTGAGATACATGTACCATGAACCACTCCCTCCAAAGTTGTAAAAAAAAAAAAAGGAAAAAAAGTTGTTTCAAACAAATTAAATTCTGTCATATTTTCTTTCCCATCCAGCCACCAAAGTTTTTCTTCGAACCATAAACCATGATACATCCCTTCCAAAGTTGTACAATTAAAAAAAAGTTGTTAATTTTTAATTTTAATTCTGTCATATTTCTTTCTGATCCAGCCGCCAAAAATTTTCTTCAAACCATGAACCATCCCCTCCTAAGTTGTAAAAAAACCCAACAAAAACAATTGCTTCAAACAAATTCAATTCTGTAGTATTTTCTTTCCGATCGTAGCTCACCAAAGCTCTCCTCCCGGACATGCTCAACCGGAAGCAGGGCCACGTCGTCAACATTGCCAGTCTGGCTGGGTTCGTGGGCGTCAACGGTCTCGCTGACTACTGCGCAAGCAAGTCTGCTATCATCGGCTTCACAGAGGCGCTGGGGTACGAGTTGAAACAGATGAAGGCAACAGGAGTCCACCTGTCACTGGTCTGTCCGTCTTATATGGAGGAAGGCATGTTTGCTCAGTGCAAATCAAGGTGAGGATTTTTATACGTTGGAAGCCTGTAATAAAGAACACTGGTACACTGCTATAATTTTGCCAGTTCCACTATTTAAAATATTTTTTAGCTCTACCTTCTTCTTCCATTGGAGTACATCTCTCTTACAGAGTATTGTTGTACTTTGTGTAGAAAAGGTGGGCAGTCGCAGGAACACGTGCAAGGGAAGTGCAGTGACGGACAAATAAGAAAAACTCAAAGCTAATGTGCAAGTAAAAAACAGCATCTGTCAGAGTCTGTCACTTAGCGAAGACCTAATATGTCTACTACAAACAAAGCTTCATATTAATTGCTAGGTAATTTCTTTGCAAACCTGGAGTTTGTCATTAGGAGATCCCACTGTATTTTAGTTCAGGTTGAACATTGAAGTCATTAGAAAAGTTGGCCAAATCTTTTACAAAGGATTGTGATTTTGATTACAAATCTTTCTCAAAACATACAGGAATAGAAATTATACATGTACCGTGACTGATTATTTGTTCACACCTGTTACAATTCTATATACCGGTAGTGCCTCTCAAAATGGAACCATTCATATCATTGAAATTTGCTTATTGTTGAAAGGTGTAAACAATTATTTGGAGTAAGTTTGATGTTTGGCCAATTTGAGCAATTCCAATAAAATGTTCACTAGCACAACAAAAAATCATACAATTGGCACCAACTCCTGAATAATGTCTGCTTGTCTCATTGTACATGTATGTACATGTATATTGATTTACAATTCCAATCAGGATTTCATATTTTGGCCATAAGGCCAAATAAACACAAAAACATGTTTAGCGTCCTACTTTTTTCAAAAATAGGAAGGAGGAGGCCCTTTTTTTCTTTTCAAAATGGCCGCTCGGTTAATTTTCCCTGACAGTTGGGCTATTTTTCAAGATGGTCATTGGCATTTTTAATTTTTTTTTTTAAATCAGAAATAGATGCATTTTAGCAGTGTTTTTCATGTTTTTTTTCTTTAAAAAAAAAAATCAATTAAAAAAAAAAAAAATTCAATAACATAAAAAAAAAAAAAGGAGGCGGGCGGGAACGCTAAACATGTATATTCTTTTTAATGGCCTAATAAGGCATAAAAACATGTGTATCAGCAATTGATTCAGAACTCAGGGTGCAATGTACCATGGTGTACATTTGTCACTTCCAATGACCTTTCGTTACTAAAAGACATTGATCTACATTTGCCACTCTCCACTCAGGTGTTAAACGGGTACCCGATAGGATGCGAAAGCTAATGTGCTTAGATTAGCAAGTGTGCGCTTGTAAAAATGACGCCTGGCTGGAATGCTCCCAAGGGAGTGGAGAATGTGCATGCATTGTGTGCGGGTAAGCCTGAATCCGATGACCGGGTAATAATATATATATATCTGTAAAGCGCTTTGAGAGGGCCTTCGGTCTTGAAAAGCACTATATTATTATTATTATTAAAAGTCATTCTTAACTCCTGACTCTTATTTAAGAAGAATGTGCTTGAATTGAGGGCCCTGACACTTACATGTAGCACCAGTAACAGTGACAATAATGATAAAATTGGTTTAGCAAGTTATTGAGGGCCAGATAAATTTATAATAAATAATGATACAATTGAATAAATTGAATAAATTTCAAATAATTGGTTCTGAAGTTGTAAAAGTGGTGTCAATTACCTTGTCTAGTGTGTACAAAGACTAATTTTACTGTTACCATTTATGGTACCTTGTGTCCAGCCCATTCACCCTCCAATGCATTTAATGATACTGAACATTGTTGACTTCAGAACTTGAAATTGAAACATGTTACAATTATTTTTACTATCCTCATTCAGATTTCCAGCGCCTTTGAAGTCCGAGAGAGCAGTCAAGATGATACTGCAAGGAATACTCACCAATCAGAAGAGAATATTTGTACCTTGGTATGCACAGTACATTCCAGCGGTCAAGTCGTAAGTAGCCTCTTTACCTTTCCATCCACGTAGACAAATGAAGTGATTTTCCAGATCTTGAACTTCTAATCCTCATTTGCATAAGTTGTAATAATCACCAGTACCGGTATTCAAAATTAATCTAGGGCAAAATACTGTAAATCTTGTAGAAAGTATTTGTTATCTATCTTTTTATTTATTTATTGTTTAATTTTATTATATTGATTAATGAATGTATTCGTTTATATATTTATGTATTCATTCATTAATTCAATATTCCCCTCCCCCTATTTTTGGGGCACATGAATCTAATACTTACTATTATAGAATTGATTATATACATGTACATATGAGGTTTCCTTTTTTAACACCAGGATATGATTATTTGACATGTAGATCACCTGACCAAATCACATGATTTCCTAGTTTTGCCCTGTTTCCTGTATTAGTGGATACTGGATAATGGACATTTGTGTAAAGAGTCGAGAGTGTGAATCATTTATCATGGACCTTGTTATTATTAGTTTTTATTGAGTGTGCGGATGTGCGAACAAGTACTTTTTGGATATTAATTATCAAGGAAAGGTCATGAACATTGTACATGTACATGAAGAAAAAAAAATACTTCTCTGTTCACAAAAGGTTCTGTTAGGATTTGATGCTGTATAAGTGTGATTTGCTCACCAAGATTCAATTAAAAAAAAAAGTTATCATAGCTCTTTTAGAGCTTACCAGAGTTTAATAGTTAATAGCTCACAGATACCATGTATTTATCTCTCTCTCTCTCTCTTCCAGTGTTTTACCCGTCAGTGCCTTCACAGCTCTCTTGGATTTCAGTGGAGGGGGTGGCGTCAGCTTTCTCAGGAACTTCAAAGGACCGAGGAAAAGTTAAAAACTCTCTCAGGAACTCTCACAGCTGTTCTTTTATGCACAATTTGAATCCTGGATGATGGAAGAACAACAGTTCAGGGCACGTACAGTACAGTATTCTGGTTGAATAAAAAAGTTGAGTGTGTTGAATACTTAAGCTGAGATTAGTCTAGCTTTGGTGTATCACAACTGTGTGTTATTCTCAAACCAAATCTCATTCACTGGGTAAAGTTAGGGTAGACATATCACAAGCCTGGGAATACTTTGATTCAAGCTCATATGGAATACGCTATGTCTTCAATAATGATAATAATTATTATATGCCATTTTTGTATAGTGCCTGTCACATCCATCATGAAAAAACTTTGTTTTAATGTACTGTCCACTATTATTGCATCAGGTCATGAATTAACATGGAATCTTCTCTATCACACACATACATGTAGGATGTGTAAAATAGTGGTTCATGATGTGGCCTAGTTGGGCTTAAAATGTCAACTTCTTGTGAAGAATTTGTTCCTTCTGGAAAAAGTAGCTCAGAGGTTATATTTATGGCAATTTTAGATACCGGTAATGCTACTGATTTGTCCTCATTATAATAATGATGATAATCCTAATTAATAATACACTGTTGTTGTTTTATGTGTAATGTCTATATATGTCTGTATGTGCTTCCAAAGAGGTTTTTAGATTATTACTGTAGCTCTAGCCTAGCTGCCCTGATGAAAGCACTGACACATTCAAAGGATTGCGCTGTACTTCCTACCATTACCCAAATACCACTTAACAATACTTCACCTGGGTCGAGTGTGGCACATATAGATTAATGTCTAGCCGAAGGACGTTAGTGGAATTACAGGGACTTGATCCCTTAACCTTGTGATTCACAGTCCGGCGACTTATCCATTAGACCACAACACCTCTTCACCTCATAGTTTATTTGATTGCTTAGAAGTAGCCGACGCAATGTTTGAATGGACATGAAACCCAAGCCAGAGTTCAACTTTGGACCAGACTTTGTGCTACAGGAGATTTCCATCGTGAACATAAAATATGACATGATTTAGACAGGTATCTGCACGTTTACCATACATTCTACCTCAAAAGAAAAAATAATTGGTTCAAGTTTAGTTGAACAAATAAATTAAAGAAAACAAAGTCATATTTTGAAGAGAAATATTGTATATTTTTAATGACTTGCAATTATGAGAAGTTCCACATTGTTTACAGCTACATGTACATGTAGTTTGTATCTCTTAATCACATATGCTGGTTTCAAGAGAACCCAATAGTAGTTTTACCTAAAGGGTCTTAGCATGCTGAGTTTCAAAAAAATAGTTATTGCTCTGATAGGAAAAGTACATGCTATGTCTGTACCCATGGCAATAGACCAGTTAAGAGGTAGCACAAGTACAAATGACACCCATACATGTCCACTGATCTATTGAATATGGAGAAGTCCCGCTTTGTGCATTTTAGAATTACCTGTACAACTGCCATAGTAATGGAGATGCTTCATGAATACCCTTCGTTTGCCCTCTTGAGAACGATACAGTTTCTACATGTCTATCATAGGATGTACTACATGTATCTGCCGGTATGCATTAATGAAGAACATGCTCTCATGAACTATCCTTCATTTGTCTCGGTGGGGTTTACAGTTTAGTACGAATGACTTTAATCTGCTCTGTGAACTGGCTTACATTACATAATATACCGGTAATGTGCATGAGAGCTATTTACCCACCAGAGTTTGTGTGTGTCATGTGTGTGCTTGTGACTAATTTTGGGCAGGGCTACTTGAACTTAAAGATGTACCGTAGTGATTTCATAAAAAGCCAATACAAGGTGTTCACACAAAATTGTGTTTTTACATATATATTTGATTTTGAAATTAAAATTGATAAACGTTATGGAGACAAAGCAAAATGAATGAAGATCTATGAAAAACTTTGATATACCGGTAACAAATTGGCATTGTGACTTTATGCAGCTGAAATGTAATACTGATTATCATCATATACATGTATATACATGTACATCCAAGGTGCATGTAAAATACAATGTCCCTTTGATTATTAGTTCTTAATGTGAAATTTATCCCCCCCCCCCTTCCCCCAAAAAAGGGAGGGAAAAAACTGGGAATTGTATTCCCTACTAATTTGGTGAAGAAAAATAAAAAATAATTTGGCGAGAAAAATCAATAAAGACCTACCTGTTCACTTATTCATGACATGTTGGCAGGAATTGTAACCAACCGGTAACTAAAATAATTATCAGTACCGTTTTTATAAATTCTTACAATGTACATGTGATTATGAGCAATGAACTTTTTTATCATCTTTTATACATACAATGTACATGTACATAATGATAGAGAGATATATACAATAACCTTTATATTACCCTTAAATAGTAATCACACACATACTGTATATATACGCAGCATTACAAAGGTGGTTGACATTATATGTAATTCTTACTATTTACGATATTCTGTAGGATTTGCTAATTTTTACCCAGGACATAGATTGGTTGTAAGTGTATGTGGTTGTGTGTGATATCCATTGGCAGTTCACAGTTTACGTCATTTATATTTAAAAAATGTACATACATTTATGCCTCTTTGTTTTCCATAGGATGTACTGTCCTCTCTCTCTCTCTCTCTCTCTCTCTCTCTCTGTCTCTGTCTCTCTGTCTCTCTGTCTCTCTGTCTCTCTCTCTCTCTGTCTCTCTCTCTCTCTCTCTCCCCCCCCCCCCCCCTCTTCTTTTAGAGTGTGTGATAAGTTATTGTGCTATTCTGTGTGAAGCATGAGATAAATGTTTTTAGCAGCCATCATCCAAAACTAAAGCAGTGAACAAACATTTCATAACAACATGGTGCAGTTTTTTCGTATTTGCTTCCTGGCCCACTGGGGGCATGCAGTGTTGTGGAATGATGCATTCTAGATCTCTAGAAATGCAATTTTTTAATAGCTTGGGTGGTATTCTGAAAATGATGTTATCTGTTATGTTAGTAAAATAATGTAAGTTGTCACAGCAAATCAAAATTATTACAAGTCACTGGTTAATGTCTGCGCAAAGCAGACTGCTTTTGCATAAAGTCATAAGAGACATTTGTGCTAGGACTAATAGTAAGCGTTACTCTCACACAAATTGAGTTTGTTATGACGAATAACATCATTTTCCTTAACATGACAGATACCATCGTTTTCAGAATACGGCCCCTTATTTATAAATTTGAGGTACAGTTAGATATTATATACAATTTATATACGGTATTGTTTTTCTTCAAATTTATGCTTAATTTGAATGCCTCTCTTTTTCTCATATTTTATTCTTTTACATTATCTTTTACGTATTATAATTCTGATTCATTTTTCTCTGTTTTTATATTTCCATCAGTCTCCTTATCTATCTTCCCATCCCATTCTTCCATATCTCTTTACATTATTCATTTTTAAACGCACCTTACTACTAACATGATTTTAAGATGGTTATAACTCTAATCATTTTATGGAAAATGTTTTGGGGTTTATTGTGGAGTGAGACAGAATTTACAAAACCTGGGCATTATATATTTTCATGTACAAATTACTGTATAGTTCTTTTGTCTCCCGAGTAAGGCAGTTATCTTAAAAATGATTACCGGTAATCATTCTTCCTTGACTGCCTGTTGTGTTTGTGCCACAGTCCTTCAACTTACTTCATAGTCATATACATGTATTATGTCATATTGTTAACTGATAAATGTATGTACTAGTGTATTTATTTATACTCCTTTATAATAATGCATTATTTACATTTAACTATTATGCTCTCAATTACACACATGTGTGTATATTAGTATGTTTATTTGTCTCAAAACATTTGAATTGTATTAGGGGGAGGGCAACTGTCCCAAGCCCTCCACCCCCCCCCCCCCCCCCCCATCAGTATGCCAGTGCGAGAGGGACGAGGGAGCATAGTGAACGAGAGGGGCGAAGGTGATGGCCTAAATCTTTGAGATAGGTGGATGTATTGTCAGTTAACTAATGAACATTGTTGTTTTGATTGGTTTTAATTCTTATAAAAAATGATTGCATAATTATGTGAACAGTCCATTTGCTTGGAACTATTCAAGCCTCTAACGCACAAGGTGGTAAACCTTTTGAAATAAATTTCAAATATTTCAAATAGTGCCTAAGGCCATTCCATGGTAGCTGGGACCATGAAAATCTCAAAATATGCAGTTCTGATATATTATTTCCAAACGGGAATAGCAAATCGGTCGATTGTAGTCAATAAACATTGTTTTAAAGCTAAAATAATACCAGTCTAGAGAGGGAGCTAAACAACATAAGGAGTTTATAATTTACAATTTCGTCACTTGAGACTCAATTTCAACCGGGACAACGATCATTGAATATTGTAAAATCACATACTGTTTGCTTTCAATATGTTCATTTGAACACAATTCATGATCCCATACCAAAAACTTTGTAGATTTTGTTTCATGATACTTATTAGCAGCATTATTAAAGCTCATGAACTTGCCTTATTGTTTTTAAAATCAAATTTTTGAATGATAAATTTAATTTTAATTGCTTACATGTTTTAATTACATGTCCAATATATCTAGTAATGAATGACGATTGTAAACAATATTGCCATTTTTAGCCAATATAAATCAAATAGTATGTATTCTGGAGCCATCAATGATTAAAGATCTTGTTGTTGACATCTTTATTGATATCATTTTTTTTTAAATTATTTCTTTATTTTTACATCTCCAGAAATTTTCAATCTTAATTTTTTTTTTAATTATTGGCAACTTTAATGTGATTACAGGGCTTGCATTACTCCTGTCATAAAATGTTAACCTTTTTTATCTCATTATTATTGATGTTTATTTACAAACTAATTTTGACACCCACTCCCTAATCAACCAAAAATTGTTTTAGCAAATTCCCTGATTATCATTGTTATGAATAATGATATTGGTTGAAAACCTTGGCTGTGTCGTTGAAAATTTATCACATCCTATAATAGGAGCAGAAGTGCATATCTTAGTTTATAGTACTTAAGAGTATTTATGAAGTTCCTTATGCAGTTGCACATGTCTGAATCATGTTTTTCTGTAGAATGTATACATGCATGTACCCGCATTAACCTATATATTGTACTATGCTTTTAAAATGATTATTTTTTGTATAATGAAGTACATGTATGTATCAGTCTAAGTAATACTATCTCTATCAAGACAAGTTTTAGGTGAAATTTTTATACCTTATTTAATCAGATTTTCTTCCTTGTTTAATTTGATAAATTAATTATTGACATCTGAATGTAACCATATGGGTAGTTTTTCAATCGTCCACTAATTTGTTTATATGGCTGTTTATCGACTGTGCTAATGTTTATGTATATGATGCATGATAACATTTGAATGTTATATGTTCTTAGAATATTTATGA